CTCGTGCGCACCTGTCTCCATTTGATCAAATGATGAAAGTGTAATCACACTTAGATTAAGCTGATGAGGAGCAGATGGATTAGGGCCCCTGCATAGTGCGCACCTAGAAAATAAACAAATAAATAAAATATTAATTAAGAAAAAATCAATCTTTGACAAGCTCTTAAGACCTAATCAAATCATGTGAATGGAATGGACCATGTTTGTTTAATTAATTAACTAACCTAATTAATTAATTAATTAACTAACCTCTACATAAACATTATAATATTAAGAAATGACAGCGTAAAACGTGCTTCTGCCACCAAATTCCATGTTTATCTGCTTTTCCCAACATTATTGTCATAATTAGTGCAACCCACTTGTTCCTCATCCAAAATTAGTGGTGAATGTGCATGGACCAAACTTGTAATTGTAGAGCTGAAATTAACTAATTTATTAGAAACTCGCCTAATCCTGATGACATTGCTCGGTTTTTTTTACTAGTTATATTTCCTATCAATAAAATCCTATCGCTATTCTCTCAAAAAAAAAACTACTTTATTAGAAAAATCAAACAGTTTCATAATTTCCCAAGGCCAATGTAGTTTCTTTCAATGAACCCAAATGGAGGCTTGACCATCTGGTTTGATTCAGATTGCAAATGCTGCTACATTGCATCAGAGTCAATAAAACCTAACAATTTTTGAAAACATCCTCCGTGACAGAAGAAACCAAACCAACCAAGAGATGAAATAGTTTGCTTGTCAAGTTCAAACATCCCAAATAATTATTGATCAATGAGAAATAATAATAATCAAAGAAACTAAATGACAAACATTTTATAATAAATTCCAGAAAACCCATGTTAGGGAGCAAGCTTCCTTTGTCTTATGCAGGGATAAGTATTTCAACTAGTATTTTATTTAGTGGGGGAACACCAAAGAGAGGGGATAAGTAGGAATATTAAGGAGGATGCATTGAATTATATAGTCAATCAGCAAACCCTAATTCCTCACTAATCAATAATCAATATTTTAAACAAATGATATTGAAAGAGAGAGGAGGAGGGAAATTCGAACACAATACCTCGTTACAATTATATATTAATTGTGTATGGTACTATAGTTATTGTTCCTTGGTCCAGATGTTGTGCACTGAATCATACATATATTAAATCCTACCTTGTGGCATTGAAATCTGTCTCACACTAGGAGACAATCTCTCTGGCATGTAATTAGGGGAGATCTGATTCTTTCCATTGGTTATCTTCTAATTGGTGAAATCTGGGCCCTCTGTTTTAATTGCTCATTTAATTATTAATGGGTTTAAGTTAATCTAATCAATCACACCAGAGGTTGGCTTTAAATTAGTGGCCTACTTGACAAGTTTAAGTGGGAAATAACCAGAAGCCAGAGGAGATTAATATCTCTCTCTTGAATATTAATATAATATTGAAGATAAAATGAGCAGGGCAATGTGGATCAAACCGGGCCACATCCCACATTGAGAGGTCGGTCCAAAGCCGCTGATGAGAAAAAAACAAAACAGAGGCCCAGATGATGGAAAGAAAGTGCCATCAAAACAACCACATGTGCCTGCCTCTCTCTCTCCTCTCTCTCTCTTTAATTTCTATTTGGTGCATCACCCACTAATCATTGCTTAGCTAAAATACGAAATCCATTGGTCCCCTTGCTCGAACCAATTCGTGCAGGCCAACCCATTCGGTGTTTTCGAATGACCAATTTCCACATCATCAACCCACCAAAATTATTTATCCAGATAAAAAAACTGTTTCCGGACCAGTTAAAACACAACACATGTTGTACGTTTAAATTTATAGAAAAATGAAAGTGGAGATTGCAAATAAATATTATAACAAAGAAACATACCGGCCTTGGAAGACAAGAATCAATATGATCAGACAGACCCATGTTTTCTTCCTTCCTTTCCGGTGACAAGTTGTCTTAGCATTCATTTAACTTGGACCGTAGATTGTAGATGTCACTCTATGATTGGTAAATTTTTCGAAGCGGCATTTAACATATTTGGTAAAACGAGTATTAAAACGCATTGGGGCACGTTTGAAATGCTTCCATCCTGCGTTACGAGACAACAAGGGGGAAAATGTTTCACCTGCCGTCCAGGGTGACGTACAACTCAAAACATTAATATCACCAAACACCTGCCTATTCTCTTTGAATCATCATTAGTTGCACCTAATCAGGGTTTAGCTGCTTTGGTTGACCTAATTCATCTTTCATTTATTTCTGCTTTTTTTTTGGTTTACAAACGATAGGAATCTAGAAGATACTTTCACAACGGATAGGTCAATACAACCACAACAAAACTACATCGCCTCACAATTTAGGCTATCCACAACTAGTCATCAAACTTATCACAAATATATGCATCCTCGTCATTCATGATAGTCGAACATGAGACCTCATTTTATCAAATGAAGATAAATACCACTAGACCAAAAGTTAGTTAATTTCATTTTCATTATAGTGTTCTGATGAAGATTAATATATAAATGTTTTGAATTTTGTGATGATATATAGTACTCAATGAAATGTCGCATTCATTTAGTATACAAAATTAATTACAAAACCAGCATTGAATAGAAAACACAAAATAAATGAGCCAACAAGCATTGTCTGAACAATTAAGGTTACATTTATTTATTTTTCTCAATCACTATGTACCAGTGGTCTACTGTTTTTCAACTTTATATTTATTTTTTGGGTTAATCGTTTTATTAGTCCCTGAACTTAGGCCCGATTTGCATTTAAGTCCTTCAATTTCCAAAATCCTTTATGTGATCCTTCAACTTCAATTTTATTAGGACAAATGGTTATGCCGTTAATTTTATTACCTTTTATGTTAAATACATGGGCAAAATAGTATTTTTTATTATTATTAAATTGATTAAAATATGAATAAAGAGTTAAGATTAAACTCTCTCTCTCCCCCTAACTTCACCATCAGACCACAACCACCACCCAACCCAACGCCACCCAAAGCAGTCACTAGTCAAAACCCTAAACCTCACCGCCACCTTCTCACCCATCAAATCAACCACTTTCTCCAACCACACCACCACCGCCATAACTACCTCATCTCCTTCTCCCCAACCCTCACCGAGGTCGATGGCCTCTCCGGCTATGACTTTGTTGTCGACATGGAGCACTACCATGGCGTCGTGTCCCAAGAGCTCCTAGCCTCCACACCTTGGCCGCCGCTCAAACCCCCGCTATTCTTCGCTTGCTTGAGACCTCTGCATCTTGGGCCAAGAAAGCCCTAGATACGGGCCTACAAGTAGAATCATACAAAATTCAAAGATCCTCATAGCCATTCCACAAGTGGAAGTTGTAGACAATCTACATAGTATCAGATTTTGTCCACCCATTTGCTTTTCCTCATCATTGAACATTTTCTTCAAAACTCAAAATCAACGCCAACAGAAAACAAAAACAGGAATGCTTCAGAAAATAAGCAAAGTAATTTTGTCCACATTTATTTCGGTGTGTAGTATAAGAGAATGTTGTTTTTATTCATGTTTTTTGTTTTAATATAAAAATATCATTTTGCCCCTACATTTAACAGAAAAAGTTAACAAAATTGGCAACATGACCATTTGTCCTAACGAAAGTGAAGTTAAAGAACCACATGAACGATTTTGGAAATTGAGAGACTCAAATGCAAATCAGGTCTAAGATCAGGGACTAATAAAAAGATTAACCCTTATTTTTCTCAATAACAAAGACATCTAACTTTTAATATATATATATAAAGCAAAAGGCAAAGAATGGTGAAACATTCAAAATGCTAGAAAATGTCATTTGTTAATGTAAATATTAAGAATTGAAATTATTAATTAAACGAGAATAATATGGTAAATTCACACATTAAAAGAAAAATAAGATAATGAGTCATATTTTTATGGAACACAACTACCCATTATCTTTTTTAATTCTAATATATATATATATTTTAAACTTCTCGCAAGCGTGGAAGTGCATGTGAATAAGCTAATATATATAAAAAAATTACTATATTTCAAAATTATAAAAACATCTAAATTTAACTATTTCAATTTGTAAAAATCAACTTTTATCTAAAGCTTTGAGGATAACGCTCTAATTTTTAGTAGGAGTATGAGCTAGGAACCTCTAACATCCAAAAAAAAGAAAAATAAATAGGATTACTATAGCAGTCTTCTGAAATAAGATTACTACTATAGTAAATCGGCAAGATAATAATACTTTTATTTATGTCATATCAAAATTATGTGATATATTATCAATATAATGGAAAAAATATGGACAATATATCGAGATGTTATCAATATTTAGGAGCATCATGACAATACTTATTAAATAATAAAACTTTGTTATACAGGCTAATATGAAAGGTAAGTCGTGATGTGACGTATGAAATTAGAAAAAAAAAAAAAAAAAAAAAAAAAAAAAAAAATTTTTGGGAGGGCAATCATCAAAAAAAAAAAAAAAAAAAATAAAAAAATAAAAATTTAAATATATATAAAAAAAGAAAATTGATTCATTAAAAAAAAATAAAAAAATAAAAAAAGGAGAATAAAGAGAAGGATAGAGAAAGATGGAGGGAGGGAAAAGGAGAGGGGAAGAGCGGCAATAAATGTGATTAAGGAAACGACGCGTGGTTCCCGTGAACTGCTTTTATACACTCTCCCCCCGTTTCCTCCTTCAACCCCTCTCTCTCTCTCTCTCATCTATCTCTCTCTAAATACCTCCCATCCAAACAAACGAACAACAAACTGATATAAATCACCACCACCATAGCCATCTTCTCTGCAATTGCTCCACTCTCTTCGATCAGGTATTGATACAATTCTCCTATCCTATATTTATATTTTTCGCTCATGTTCTTGATTTCATCGTAATAACAATCGTTTTTTGTGGTTATTTTTACAGGTTTGTCGATATATTTATCGGTCAATATTCTTGAATTTGACTATCTGCATATTCCGATCACCTTCCATGGCGGCATCGCTGATCTCAAACGTCGACGGAAGCCTCGACGCGTCGTTGATAGAGTCGTCTCGCAAAAAGCGGAGGAAAATCGGAGCCGTCGAATCGGATCAGAATCCTACTACGAATACCGGAGCCCGATGGAGATCCGAGACGGAACAACGGATCTACTCCACGAAGCTCGTGGAGGCGCTCCGTCAGGCTCGCCAGAGATCGTCGCGGGCGGCGAAGGTCTCCGGAGGCGGCAGGGAACTGAAGGAGGCGGCGGACCAAGTTCTGGCGGCGGCGGCCAAGGGCACGACTCGGTGGAGCAGAGCGATTTTAAGAACTCGACTCAGATTGAACCAGAAGCTTCACAAACGTAGAACGGCGAGGGTGACCGGGAATAATCGGTTGAAGAAAGCGGAGGTTAGGAGAGAGGGGAGGAAGTTACCGGTTGTGGAGAGAAAAGTTCGGGTTCTGAGCCGGTTAGTTCCCGGTTGCCGGAAGGCGTCGTTGCCAAACCTTCTAGAAGAAACGAGTGATTACATATCGGCTCTGGAGATGCAGGTGAGAGCCATGGCTGCTCTCACCGAGCTTCTCTCCGGTTCGCCGGTTAATCACGTCGGCTCCAGCCTCAGTTCTTCGAGTTGACGCTGAGAGTCGCCTGCCTCGGCTTATTGTGCCAGGTGTTTTTTTCCTTTTTGTAATTTTTATAAATATTTTAATCTTATGAAATTTTTAATTGGTGTATTTTATTGTATACGTAGCCTTTTTCTCTCTTCTTAGCTCTGCTATAATTTCTTTTTCTTTTATGTTTTTAATCATTTATTACTAAATCGATTGGAGTATGCCACCTAATTTGATTCTCATTGATCAACTAGACTATTAAACACATTCTAGTTTTGGTTTTTTCCTTTAACGAAAGTTTTAATTTCTTATTCCGGTTTGTGTAACTCAACAGTCATGTTTTTCACTGAGTACCTTTTTTTATATAAAAAAAATACAGTCAATATTGAGGGTGTGAGGAGTTAAACCTCCTCAGGATTAATGGCTCTTAATCAATTGATCTACAAGAAGCCTGTTTTTTATTTTTAGTTTAGTATGTTGTGTTATTGTCAAACTATCGGCATAAATATGTATTTAATAACAGAAAAATAGTGCCAATGAAAATTAGCCTAGTGAAAAATGAGAATGATATTAACTTCCAGAACAGGTTCAAACTTCAATGATACCTTAGTAGTGTGTATAAGAGAAACATCCCTCTTCATTATAATTTAAACTATCGTTTATATTAAAAAATAACAAACAACATATCCAACCATTCATTTTCATAAACTACGTAAACACATCAAAAGAGGGAGTGTAGGTGTGTGGTAAGTATTGCGTTTAAGTCTCACCTAAACCAAATTTAAAAGGTTTCCTTTCTAATGCAAAAACAAAAGTCATAAAGGCAAAGTGATTAGTCACGTAAGTGGCGATGAAGACGTTTCAATTCTACACTTTGGAGGAAAAATAATATCAATATGCCATTCAAACCCACTATCAAATTTTGAGCATAAATCATAGATTTCATGTTCTCAATTAACTAGGGGATGTCTGGCAAAAAAGAAATAACTAAAGCATAATTTTCACCTTCCAAGTTTGACATCTCACACTCCTTTTACTCACATATGAGGTAATTTAAGGGTGATTTTACAGTCCCAAAATCATCAACCATTAACTAACCAAATTAGTAACTCAAATTGGGTCACCCCACTCCTGACTTTAGAATGATTCTGACAATGTACTCCACATTCTGATATTAGAGCCAAAGTACAATCAATTACTCTCTAACTGTTGTGGTCAAAAGGCCCACTAGAAAGATGATAGAGGAGTTTAGAGACCTTGCATGCTTATCTCTTGCAAATCTCTCTCCTTTTTGCAATGTTACTGTCCCTGATTGCCATACAAAAATTGGACCAGCTGCTTATCTCATTAACCACAAGTCCTCCCCCTCCACAGGTGTCACCACACACAGAGAAAGTAAAAGTTGTTATCAATCTATTAATTGAGCTGAAAAAAATAAATTTCTAACATGGATTTCTATAATCCGAATAACTGTTGTCTACAATCATGTGTATTATCTTTTTCGGTACATAAATTATCATGTAACACGAGATATAGACACGCAAAATTGTATACAACTAGCGGTAGAGAATAAAAGCTCCGAGAATACATCTAGGAACTATGCATTAGTAGTACCATCCCCACTCTAGTCAGTCAATAATAAGAAAATATAAGGGCAGACGTGCAGAATTGAAAATGAACTTTGAGAGAGGGAGGGGGGGACTCTCTGGCAGCATTTGGAGATTTATGAGATACGAAATCGCGGAGAAGGAGGAGGTGGTCGGGAAAAATTAGCCCCACTGCCAAAAGAAAATGAAGCCTTTGAGAGTTGATGAGAGGCAACTTGATTTTCACAAGAAACAGCTGCACAAGAGATCATGTGCCTTAGGGGACCCTACAATTTGAAGTACAGTGACCCTCCAAAGAGGCCAAACCCCAAATCCAAAAGGGATTTGCATGTGCGCCTAAAACATCCTTCACATGCTATTTTAAGCAACGGGATATGCCCTATAGCTAAAATCATTCAAAAATATTGCTCCACAAAGCCCAAAATGTTTAACTTATTATTCTGAGAATAAAAACATTATGGTCTAAGACAAGGTTGTGAAGGGCATGCCCTACCACCAAAAATGTCACTCTAGGTCTAGGGCTTTTATTTTTCCTCTTTGAGAGCTTAGCAAATGAGCAGTAGCATTAGCAAGCAAGTTTGGCCACGGCAATCGGCCACGTGTCGGCTCGTGAGTGGAGACAGATAGGGCAGAGGCCCGAGTGGCATGGCATCATTGTCAAGTTAGTTTTCAAAAGGGTTTTTGGGAGCCAAATTGGTCGAATCAAGGACCACATATATTTTGTGTCTTTGTAGGCTTGCATGCCCCGTCTGTTTACGAATCACATTTTGAGTGTTTGCTTGTCAGTTATTTCTTCATTTCAAACACATAGACCATATCCTCACATGCTTCCATGTGCCTTCTTTTTCTCTTTTTCTCTTCTTTTCTTCACAATTTACTTTTATTATTGTTATTATTTTTTGATTTATTTCTCCAGCTAGGTTATTGGAGATTGAACAGTGAGATATAATTACCCTAGGCTCCTAGCAATGCTTTTGCCATAATAAAAGCATCCTGAATCTGCTAAAAGGGTTTCTAGCTAGGTTTGTTTTAGCTTCTTTTTTCTCTCTTCACATTTGGTGTGTTTATAGTACTTTAATCTTGAATTATATGTTTTCTGGTTTGCCGGCTGTGTTTTAAACTTTTAATCAGTTGAATTATGGGTAATAAGCTTGAGATATCGCCACGGTGATAGTCCTCAGGTGTATTATCGTAAAAATATCTAAGTATTAATAAATAAATATATAAAAAATATATGATTTGTCTTAACTCTCAATGGTCCAGAAACGTGGCCTTCAGGAGGCTCAAGATATGTTGGCTTCAAATTCGCTTTCCCATTTAAATCGTAACACCTCTTCCACCTTGGCTTGCAATGTGTCGTTCTCTAGATGGGTACCTGATTCTGACATAGAGATGAATGTGCCAAATTAGTGGCACTTGCTGCCAAGTGATATGTCGTGCCCCTCATATTCTTCTGCATTATTTTTCTCGTATTTTGCATCCTTCTCAGCTTCTCTCGGCAGAGGCCTTCAGGTCTACTTAAGCCAACAAGTTACATCAACTTTTGGATTCTGGCTCAGCATTTCACATTGCTGATTTTATCAATTGCCGTTTTTTTAGAGAAACCAGTTTGAAAATCAACTACTTTCACACTTCAAAGTTATTCCCATGATTTTCTTGCATTATTAAATCAATCTCCGGACATGTGTTAAAAGTTTAAACTATTCAATTCATTTTTGTTTCAATATTATGCCTTGAAGAGGACTCGAACCTCCACACCATTTAGCACGAGATTTTGAATCTCGCGTGTCTATCATTTCACACCACAAGGCATCTTGAATTTAATTTTTTCTTGGTTAATTTCATAGGCCTATATCTCTCTCTGTTTTTGCTCCTACCAGCATCACATCACATCTTGTCATAAACAACGTTTTCACCCGGTAAATTTGCTGAAAGCCCAATTTCAATTGGGAGTTTCACTAATACACTCAAAATAGGGGCTGAAATTATAAAAAAAACCCCATATGAAAAACACTTTATAAACACACTCAAAACCTATTTATTAAACACACTCAAAACCCATCAATAAACACCAAAAAAAATATACAATTGTTGATTTTTGGGTTTATTTTGGATGTGTTTCTATGTTTTAAATAGTTTTGAGTATATTTATAATTTCATGTCTAAGATTGGGTGTTTCACTAATTTTGTAATTTCAATTTGCACCTCTAGTGAATTTGATTCATATATATTCCTGACAAGAGAAAAAGAACATAGAAGTGGGATTTGTCAAAACGACAAAAATGAGGGTCGCACAAAACGACAAAAAGGGAAGGAAGCGCTTTCGAGTTGTCAAAGTCCAACAACCACCCAATAAAGGAAGGCCCCAACAACATTGGTCACGCAACACCTTGGAGTTGGGCCCAAAACCGAAGTAAGAGGACAAAATGTCTTGTGTCAAAACGAAGGGTTTTTGGGGACCCTGCACTTCTGCACTGCAGCCACTTTGTTTTGTGGTGCCATGCCATCAAACTTGGATAATTGGCCAACTCGTGGAGCATCCTATCAGCACATACGCATCTCTCTCTCTCTCTCTCTCTCAATGATTCTCTGTCTTGTGACAAATTTGACTACCAAAACGTAACCAAAGTTTTCGCTCAAGGCTCTTCTTTTTTGGGACCCCTTTGGTATTATGCTTGCCGCACGTGGCTCCTTGGTGGCTAAAGAAAATGACCCCTATTGCTGTGCATGTGCTGTGCTCTGCTGCTTTCATCCAACGAAACCTTCAAAGCCCATCAAACATATGGATACAGCATCAAAGGACCAAGCCCATCAAACACTTTGAATTGAGATCAGCCAGAAACAAGCCCGAGTAAAATTCATGTTGCAAATGCAGGGAAAAAAAAACCAAAACCAAAAAATCAAAGAGCTCCTTCTTTCTTCAAACCAATGAACCGATAATGCTTAAAGAAGTTGTCCCAGTGGATCGATCAACATTCACACAAAGGTTTCGATACTAAAACATGTGCAACTTCTGCAAAATATGGAAAGAGCTAACCTTTGTTTACGTTTTTGGTCTTTCCACAAAGGCAATTGCAGCATTGGAAATCACCTTGGCTCTCTAAATTTCCTCTTAAATTCCTCCAAGTTTTGAGGTGAACAAATTATGTCAACTTTCTCCGATTTCGGAGCACACCCGAGCACCATCGGACCCGTCTGAAAGCTCTATCATAAAGTACTTAATTTCATTAATAAAAGTAAGGTTCTTTAGTTTCCAGTATCCCATATCAAATCCACATTTCTGGAAAAAAGAAAAAGAAAATCAAACAAAATCAGTCAAAGATTAGTTCCAAAAGAAAGATTAAAACCAAATATGAAGAAAAAAGGACCTGCTTTATAATCAAAAGCATGGTGAATATGAACCTAATTCTAGAAATGATAATATAATTCGCTAACGGGGTTCTTAACTTGCAGAATCCCCACAGTATCATAGTTGTGTGTGTGTGTGTGTGTGTGTGTGTGTGTGTGTGAGAAATCCCCCTCCCCTATAGTTAGTTTAGACTATCGTTTGTACTAAAAAACATATTCTAGAAATGATAATAGAGGGTGTGGGAGAGTATATCTACATATGAACTTATATTCAATCAACCTTTGTATTTATTGCATACTAAACTTTTGGCTCACAATGGCTCTATTTGAGATATTCCTATCTATTATTTTGGAGATTTATAATTCTTCCATTTTAATGGATGGAATTTCAATGAATTAAGCATCACTAACTTACACGCTCCGATTCGAATAGCATGAGACATGTGGAATCCCGTGTGAATCTGCAAAGACCACCTTACAAGTCAAAGTGGTGGTAGTGTGGTCGATGATGCTTGCTATGATCGATAAAAAGATATCAGAATTGAGAATGTTGATGCAAAGGAATGTTATGGAGGCTTTTTTAAAGTTGACAATAATCATCGTGCTTCAACGCACATCAAACGAGGATACAAATCCTCAAAGGACCAAGTCGAAGAGGCTTCCGCCAGAAGCAAGCCTGATTCAAATATTGATATCTACTACTTAGCATTATTGTCCAGCTAAGGGGGAAGAAAAATTCATTTTACAGATGCAGGGAAACCAATGAACCCAATAATGCTAAGAGATCTAAACTTGTCCCAATGGTTCCTTTCAACATTCACACTAAGCATAAACCTATCAAAGAGCTGTCTTTGTTTGCTTTTCCCCGTCTTTCCTTAAAGAAAATTGCAGCCTTGGAAATCATCTTGCATTTCGCTAACTTCCTCTTAACTTCCTCCAAATTTTGAGGTGAACAAATCATGACAACATTCTTCAATTTTGGAGCCCACTCGAGTATATACTTTGCTAATTTAACACCATTGGACCCGTCTGAAAGCTCTATCATACAGTACTTAAGTTCATGAATAAAAGCGAGGCTCTCTAGTTTCCAGTATCCCATATCAAATCCACATTTCTGAAAAAAATAAATAGAAAATCAAACAAAATCAGTCAAAGATTAGTTCCAAAAGAAAGATTCAAACCAAATATGAAGAAAAAAGGACCTGCGTTATAATCCAAAGCACGGTGAATATGAACCTAATTCTAGAAGTGATAATAGAATTAGCCAATGGGATTTATCTGCTCCACGCACCAAATTTATCAAAGTATATTTGGAATTTTCAATTTTTCTGAGATGAACTTCGCCTACGGGAACAAGATTAACCTCAGCAGATTCCAAATTTTGAAACGTTCCAAGATTTGGGTGATTCATCAAATTCCCCCTCCACCACAGCTTTTTAAGATTTGGCGCAAAAATATTCAATGGTGTGATGCTAGGTGAGCCAGCTCTTAACGAGATACTTAACTGTTGAAGATTTTCACACGAGATGTTAAGTGTGTCAAGATCATGTTGGGGATCAAAAAGAGTAAACCTTTCCAAAGAGGAGCTTTCAATATTTAGATTTTTTTTTATCCCACGAGGATATGCAAGACGTAAAATCTGGATGCATTTGCAAGAACATGAGATCCATTTGAAAAACCCCTCCTCATCTGCTATAAAAACACCCGACAACTCCAAGTCTTTTAGATTCGAGGAAAAGGAGACGGAGGGGGCTTTAAGAATCAGACGCTCCATGTGCACCGATAGAGACTTCAAAGATTCACATAGAAAGATGGAAGACGGAAAATCCAGAATGGGGTCATCTAGACCAAACAGATCAAGATCAACCTCTTCAACGTTACACTTCACCGCCTTGTGGACCCACGACATCACCCGGAAGTAGACATCACGACAGATGCACGATGATGATGATCTTTGGTTCCTGCGCCAAACAAAACGGAAGCGCTGTATCTTATGATCCCCACGAAGCAATAGGAACCTTTCAAGAGAATTCAACAACCTTTGATGCCTACCACACGTGTCAGCAGCAGCCATGCCGTCGTCTCGACTGAAATTCAAGAACGGGGTTGATTCACAAAATCCTCTGCAACATTTGGACACACAACTCAGTCGAGCAAGGTCATACGTGGTAAGGAACGAAAGAATGCGATGAGCGATGTGGTCAGGAAGATTGCTAAGTCTGTCGTCTGTCATTCTCTCTCTGCAACCTCCTCCTTCCCCTTCACAACTTGCAGTAGCCACTAAGTTGTGGTTTTTACGTTCCATGAGAGAAGAACCCTAATTTTGAGCCTATCTAGGGGGTGGTATTGTAATCAATCTTATAAGAACGAGGGTTTGGTGTCAAAGGGGCCGGGCCTATTATTCAACCCATATAACCTGGTTAAACCCAATTGCACTTCCAAAATTTGTAATCCGAATATCTAGACCACATCTCAAAAATGCCAATAAGGTTTAACATAGTGGAAAATGACATCGACTTGTAGATCAGTGATCTCAAGTTCAAACTCTCATGACATCTTGATGGTATGTGTGTGTGAAAAACCCCATCTCTCCTTCCTAGCATTGACAACAACAAAAAGATCACATTTTGAAAATGTTTTTTTTTTCCTTTAAAAATTACAAACATAAAAACAATTATAATCACTATTTTTTTTTGGATGCATGACTTAACTTTTGAATATCTACTGGCCGAGGTATATCAAAACCGGATCAGGGTGATCACTTAACATTTGCCTTTTCATTTTGGTACTCTGCAGTTATACTTGTAATGCATGTTTGTCCATATACACTCTCAATTTTAACAAGGAAATACCCCGGATTTCTCAATTGTTTTTTCAGTGCATTTCTGATGTAAGGGTTTCTGTCAAAATTCCAGTTAATTGCCTATGTGGCAGTTGTAGGTCTCACATATGTTTGGAAGTCAATTTGAGGGTATTTTCAGACAATATATCCTATAAAGCCAAGATAAAACCAAGTCCAAGAGGCTTCCACTTTGAGTGGAGGAGGTCAGCCAGAAGGAAGCATGATTCAAATTCATGTTGCAAATGCAGGGAAAAAAACCAAAAACCAAAAACAAAAACAAAAACAAAGAACCAATGAACCAATAATGCTTAAAGAAGTAAAGAAGTCCCAATGGATCTGTCGACATTCACACTAAGGTTTCGATACTATAGAACATAAACAACTTATGCAAAATATCAAAAGAGAGCTACTTTTGTTCAATTTTTTGGTATTTCCTGAAAGGCAATTGTAGCATTGGAAATCATCTTGGCTTTCCCTTCCTCTTACTTTCCTCTAAATTTTGAGGTGAAAAAATTGTGACAACTTTCTCCAAGATCATATCAAATCCGCATTTGTGAAAAGATAGGAAATCCAACAAAATCAGTCAAATATTATTTCCAAAAGAAAGAACCAAAGAACCAATAATTAATGCTTAAGGAAGTAAAGAAGTTGTCTCAACATTCACACTATGGTTTCGATACTAAAATGTAAACAACTTCTGAAAAACTATCAAACGATCTTGTCTTCGTTCATTCTTCCGGTCTTTCCTCAAAGACAATTGTAGCTTTGGAAATCATCTTGGCTTTCTTTAACTCCCTCTTAACTTCTGTTGAGGCCCAAAAATCCAAGGGTCTGAGCCCAGATTAATTATTGGCCCAACACCGATGATTGAACACAAAATGGATTCAATCGGGACAAAAGAGAATTTGTAGGACGCACCAATACAAGCCATGGGCCACACATCATGCCAAGCAAGCACGTGCACAAGGGCCAAGAGCATGCCAACTTTATAAAATCACGCTCACATGCCTATTCGGTGTTACTTGGCCCGATTATAGCTTATCACGGCATAATCAAACTCAAGCACAAGCTAGGTGTCATGCAAGAGGAGCCATTGTTTTAACACCAAGCTATGCCACAGGCTTAAGTGGGCCCAAGCCACAAAATTACCCGGGGCTTGCTGAGAAGGTTGTGGTGTGGATAAGTACAAGCATTCACAAGGCCCATTTAAGGGATCAAGGAATGAGACTTTTGGGCTACTTGGGAAATTGCTTCCAGTAGCTTGACGGAAAACCTATCAAGCGATGGAAGTAACAAGCTGATGACCCAACGCTGTACATATAAGCCCAACCCAAAGCCTTATGAAAAGTCTGGCGTCGCGCTCCACGCTTGTTAGAACTCCAAGACGGTCAAAACAGGGAGCTATGGTGGGAACCAACAGAAATCCGTGCGTGAAGGGCAAATACCCATCAAACAAAGAACTCCCTCCATCTCTCTTTTCCTCTGCGAGCTCCATCTTGAAAACCCATAAGGAAAGCAGGAGGCGCCTCACCCTTTTGGGAAGGTCCAGCTGCGTCAAACCCTTGGAACCACAAAGGGGTTCCTTATTCATGCACCTTGATGGGAGAAATTCACCAAAGAAGATAAAATGGAAAGGAGCAAATGGAAAAGGGTAGGAAAAGTTAAGATGAGATTAGGATTCTTTGTGGCTATAAAAGAAAGCCTCATCCACCTAGAAAACCAACTCATTTAGGGCCTGACCAAGCGTTGTCAATCAACTGAAAATTTACTCAAGCCAACCAATCCTCTCTCTCTCTCTCTCTCTCTCTCTCTCTCTCTCTCTCAAATTGCTAAACTTGTGAAAGCTCAGCTCTCATGCCACAAACTCCTCAATCTTAGCCATTAATCGATTCATCATGTTAATTTGGCTATTGGTGAAAGGAACCTAAAAGTGTTTTTCTAAAGTCTTATTATATTTTTCAATAAAACTCTTTTAGGAGCTTGGTTTTGAACTTAGACATTTGGGGAATTTCGTTTCTTTTTCTTCTCACGGCAGCCCAAGCCCATTCGTCAGGCTGCTGGAACAAAAATACCCCTACAACTTCCTTCAAATTTTGAGGTGAACAAATTATGACAATTTTCTCCCATTTTTAGAGTATATACTTTGCTAATTCAACTCCATTGGACCCGTCCGAAAGCTTTATAAAAGCAGGATTTTCTAGTTTCCAAGTATCTCATATCAAATCCAAATATCTGAAAAGATAGGAATCAAACAAAATCAGTCAAAGATTACTTCCAAAATTAAAACCAAATATGAAGAAAAAGGACCTGCGTTATAATCAAAACTAATTCTAGAAATGATAATAGAGGGTGTGGGAGAGAGAAGCAAATAGCAATAGAAACTTCAACTTACATTGGATTTAAGTTCATGCAAATGTGGGCAACGCTTTATGTGTAAGGTATACAAGTAAGGCATTCCTGCGAAAAGAGAGACCATTGCAGGGACTATCTCATCAATTATGCACCCAACATGCGTATGCAAAGAACGAATATTGTTGAATGAAACTGGCATAGACCCTTTCAGTTTGAACAGAACCTGCAATGTTGTTTTGGCCGATGATGATTAAGAAGCGTAGTGCAAGAGAGAAAATAGGAGAGAACAATGTGAATTTCAATATGTCCAAGCTCATTATGATACCTTTCCACTTTCTGTAAAAAATGGACAATTACGAAGTTGAAATTCACGGTGTAAGTCGTTGCTTGATCATCCCAAAGCTTCAAACTTTGTTCAATTCTTACTCCAAATAATCCAAGTCACCTGAACTGTTTGTTGATCACAAAAAGAAGAAAACAACTTTGAAGGTGGTTTCGCATTCATGTTTGGGACTCCAATACAGTTAATAAGTTTTCTAGTGATGAAGAAAATGACCTAAACTAGGAGGAGTTGATAAGGATCTCAGTGCTTGTATTTGATTTATGAAAAATTCAACTACAAGGAAATTAAGTGATGAATAGGCTTGAAGAATAATGTGCCAATTATATTAGCTGAAAGTGCTTACAGTCCATTCTGGTATCTTCTCTGTTTTTGCTGATCTAGTGTTCTGTACACACAGATGATGAAATTACTTTTGGAGTTTTTCTGACCCTGTTGTATTTGTGAATTGTAGCACTCATTCTCACAATAATGCTTAGCTGTGGAAATGGCTTCATGTGGGATGGCCGTCTTAATGATTCTATGCGCGCCTTGTTCAAACTATATGGGCTGGGTCGACTAGCCTAGTTACTGGAGCAGATCAAGTTAATATTTCAGCAGTCAAGAACCATTCGACCATGCAAGTATAGGCTGGTGGTTTAACCATTTTGACACGTGGCGCCTAGGCGTTGGCGGGTCCTTTTAAAAAAATATATATAGTATAGCCGTGCGGCTATACCCTGTTTAAAATTTTTTTTAAAAAAAATTGTAGAGCTGAGCGGCTATGCGCGGTTTTATTAATGTTTCATAAAAATAGTATAGCCGCTCGGATATACTTATTTTGACACGTGGACGCTTGTACGGCTTTTTTTTTGTTCTTGATAAATAGTATAGCCGCAACTATACTGGATTTTTTTGTTTAAATTTTTTAAAATAAATAGTAAAAAAAATTAGCAATTTCACATTTAATAATGTATTATATACGTACACACGTATTTTTTTAGTAATACATCCGTGTTCTGCACACGTCTTAAAGACTCAGTAAAGTTTACATTTAAAAAAAAACATACAATACTCGTATTATACAAGTACGTATGTATTTTTCATATTTAATACAGGTATTTTTTATAAAAATTTCAATAAAACACACAAAATTCACATATTATACACATAATTCTCAGATATTATTAAATAAAAATAATATATATTAAAAAATGTAGATAATTTATATTAAAACATAATATAGTGGCCGAATATTTAATTTATAAGAGCATCTCCAAGAGAGATGTCAAATACCACAGTCATAATCTCTTGGACTACAGGGGTCTAAGAGATTTGTGGTCACTCACCGTTGGATATAAATTCAACGGTTCACTCACTCTTGCACTCCTTTTAAAAAACTTTTTGAACTATTGGATTAATATCCAACGGTAAGTGACCACAAATATCTTGGACTCCTGTAGTCCAAGAGATCGGGACTGGTCAAATACCAGACATTAAATTTAAATTTGATGACTGATGTAGCAATTTGACATCTTATATAGTTTTACACTCCACCATATATGTCAAATTAAATTATTATTTTATTACATTTTAGTGTTGATTTATTTTTAATTAAAAATAAAAGGAAAGAAAAAATAATAAAATATTCATTTGACATCTTGCTTGTAGGATATCAAAAATAACATCTCAACCTTCATTCCACATCAGCTTTGACACATCAGTTGGATTGAAGTGAGATGTTATTTATAGCTATTAAATGTCTATATGACACTTGACATATCGGTTAGAAATGCTCTAATTTGCCAAAATTTTGCTGAATAAAACACGTACATATTTTATTTATTATTTTCCCATCCGTATTTTAATAACTATGAATGAATGTATAGCCGTGCAGGCATACTCAATTTTTTTTTCATATATACCTTATTTTTTTGTTAAAAACATTTTTCAAAATAGTACAGCTGTCCGACTATTTTTTTTTTTTTTTTTTTTTTTTTTTTTTTTTATATAAAAAATTGCAAATCGTATATGCAGCTGTACTCTTTTGGCTAATTAATTTTTAAAAAAGTATATGCGCGCGGCTTTATTGTTTTAGACACGTGGTGCCTAGGCGCTAGTTAGGTCCTTTTTAAAATATATATAGGCTCTAGTTGGGTCATATACTTGGTTTTATTATTGTTTCAAAAAATAGTATATCCGCACGGCCATAATTATTTTGACACGTGGCGCCTAATCGCTGGGGTCGTCCTCTTTTTGTTTTTTTATAAATTGTATAGCCACGCAGCTATATGCAATAAAAAAAAAAAAAAAAAAAAAAAAAAAAAAAAAAAAAAAAAACTCTTTTTTTTATTTTATTTTATATTAAATTTTTTTTAAATAAATGGTATAGCACCTTCTCATGAAAGGTTATCTAGATGTCCTTTTAAAATTCGAAAATCAAATTAAACCTATCTTTTTCCAGTAGTTGCAACTGCTCATGAAAGGTTATCTAGATGTCTTTAAATAGCCAATCCTATTACAGTAGTAGGCACTGAATAATCACTCACTATTTGAGAAAGAAAGAACAAATACAGTATGCCAGAGTTCAAAATCCAAGTGCCCGGATTTTGACTTATTGATAGTTGTATCTTGGGGACAGATGCCTGAAGAACTACAACCACGAATGTATCTGTGGCCATTGCATGAAGAAGAAGACAAGGTTGAAAATGGTTTGCATCCATGTTTGGAGGAGTTGACAATAATCTCAATGTTTGTATTGAAGCATAATGTGCCAATTTTTGACATTCTTTTCTTTATACAAGGAACTTGGATTGGTGTCAAAGTGGTGGTTAGTGTGGTCGATGCTGCTGCTATAATCGATCAAAAAATATCAGAATTGAGAATATGCAATAAACCATATCAAAGGACCAAGTCGAAGAGGCTTCCACTTCGAGTGGCGGTCAGCATTATTGTCCAGCTAAGGGGGAAGAAAAATTTATTTCACAGATGCAGGGAAAAATAAGGTCTTTCTCCAATTACAGTACAAACCAATGAACCAAATAATGCTAAGAGATCTAAACAAGTAGTCCGAATGGTTATTTCGATACTAAAACATAAACACTTATGGAATGGCATCAAAGAGTTGTCTTTGTTCACTTTTCTGGTCTTCCTTAAAGAAAATTGCAGCCTTGGAACTCATCTTGAATTTCTCTAACTTCCTCTTAACTTCCTCCAAATTTTGAGGTGAACAAATTATGACAAATTTCGTCAATTTCTGAGCACACTCGAGTATATACCTTGCAAATTCAACTTCATTGAACTCATCTAAAAGCTCTGTGGTCAAGCTCTCCAGTTGATTAATAAATGCAGGTTTGTGCAGTTTCCAGTATAAAAATCCATGTCTCTGGAAAGACAGTAAATCAAAAACCTGATCAGTCATGAAGATTAATTCCAAAAGCAAACAAAAAAGGAAAAAGATTAAAACTAAATATAATTAAAAGGTGAAGGAAGTTGAGGTTCCACCCCATAACCAATTGGCAATTGGGGGAGTAGCCCAACTCCTTATAAGTCCTTTCAAGGTTTGTTAGTTTTCCAATGTGAGACATTTTTCACCTTCACATTCTCACAAAAGGCATGCATTATACTCAAATGCCTAGAGAATATTACCCCAATTCTAGAAATCATGAGAGAGAGCTTTTTTTTTGGGTGGGTTTTGTATAGAGGTTTGAGAGAGAAGCAAATAGTAACACAAACTTCAACTTACATATGATGTAGGGTCATGAAAACGTTGGCGACGTCTTATGTCTAAGTCATACAAGTTAGGCATCCTCCTAAAAAGAGAGACCATTGAAGGGACTACATCGTCACTTATGCTCCCAATATCTATACGCAAACGACGAACATTCTCGAATGAAACTGGCATGGACCCTTCCAGCTTGAACATAACCTGCAATGTTGTGTAGGCAAAATCTCTATCATGTTTCTCAATTTAAACTTCAGATAAATAATAATTAAAAATAAGTAAATTCTCTCAGGTTCTTTCTACTATACCTTAATGAGAGATTCGTTTAGAGTGAGAGCGTAACTGCTAAAGACTTCACATAAAGGGTCAAAGTCATCTACTCCAGCTCTAGGCCCCAGAATTATCGAAGTGTATTTGAAATTTAGAGTTTTTCCGAGATAAACTGTGCCTACGGAATCAAATTTAATCATAGCATATTCTAAACTTCGAAACTTTCCGAGATTTGGGTGACTCGTCAAATTCCCGGTCCAGCACAACGTTTTAAGATTTGGAGCAAAAATATTCAATGATGTGATGCTAGATGAATCCGTTTTCAAGGAGATACTTAACTGTTGAAGATTTTCGCAAGAGATGTGATATGTGTCAAGACCATGACGGGGCTGATAAAGATTAAAAATCTCCAAAGACGAGCTTTCGATGTTAAGATTTTTTATCCCACGAGGATATGCAAGACGTAAAATCTGGATGCATTTGCAAGAGCATGAGATCCATTTGAAAAACCCCTCATCATCTTCTATAACAACATGCAACAACTCCAAGTATTTGAGATTAGAGATCGACGAGGGTGTTTTAAGAATACCTTTCATGTGTACGCATAGAGACTTCAAAGATCCACAAAGAAAGAGAAAAGAAGGAAAAATCAGATTGGGTTCACCTATATGATGGAGATTAAGCTTAAGCTCTTCAAGGTTACACCTCACCGCCTTGTCTACCCACGAAATTACACGAACGTAGACATCAGGACAGACGCATGGTGAAGATGATGATGATGAGCTTTGGTTCTTCTGGTTTTCAGAGTGAGCACGCCAATCAAAATGTAAGCGCTGTATCTTATTATCCCCACGAAGCAAAAAGAACCTTTCCAGAGAATTCAACAACCTTTGCTTCCTGCCACACGCGTCGGCAGCCTCCACGCAGTCATCTTTACTGAAATTCAGAAACGGAGATGAAAGACAAAGTTCTTTGCAACATTTAGACACATTACTCAGTCGAGCAAGGTCATGCATAGAAAGGAACGAAAGAATGCGATGGGCGATGTGGTCAGGAAGATGGCTGAGTCTGTCTATCAGTCTCCCTCTGCAAGGTCCTTCGCCTTCACATCTTGCAGTAGCCACTAACTTGTACTTTTGACGTTCCATGAGAGGAAGAACCCTAATTTTGAGTCAATAAACTAGGGACTTTCTGTTATAATGGTACAAGGGTTTGGTATCTCACATTTTTATATTACATGACGTAACATGTCCATATCATATGCTACATCAATTAAATCAATGAAGTATATTTTAATAAAGAAAAAAAAAGTGTTAATCAGTTGCCACATCATATGGTATAGAAATGTGATCAGACTAGTATTATTCAAACCGAATTGCACCTCCAAAACAATTATAACCAGTTTTATTTCTTTTTGGTAGAATAGTAAATCACCTAATAAAGAAGAGGGACTTCAAATCATCCAAGTCACCTGGATTGTTTGGGACTCCAATACAATGAGCTTTCTAGCGATGAAGAAATTAACCTAAACTAAGAGGAGTTGATAATGATCTCAGGGCTCTTGTATTTGATTTATGAAAAATTCAAGGAAATTAACATTAACATATGAACTTATATTCAATCAATATTTCTATTTATTGCATACTAACCTTTTGGCATGCACTCGTGCGCACGTCAATCAGTTTCTTCAATCAGTTTTTTTTTGTTATGAAGATAAATTAGTTTATTGACTTGCGCTCACGCTTGTGTTATATTTTTATTTAATAAATAGTATAGCACCTTTTCATGAAAGGTTATCTAGATGTTCTTTTTAAAATTCAAAAATCAACTTAAACCTATCTTTTTCCAATAGTTGCAATTGCTCATGAAAGGTTATCTAGACGTCTTTAAATACCCAATCCTATTACAGTAATAGGCACTGAATAATCACTCACTATTTGAGAGAGAAATAACAAATACAGTTCGCCAGATTTCGAAATCCAAGTGCCCGGATTTTGACTTATTGATAGTTGTATCTTGGGGATAGACGCCTGAAGAACTACAAGCACGAATGTAGGTGTGTAATTATGTATGTGGGCATTGCATTTGCAAGCCTCTATCAGTCAGTTTACTTCCCTTGCTTATTTTATATTTGCTGTATAATTTTGTTAATTTACAGTTTGATTCATATTATAATTCTATTAATTGGAATCATTTAAGTTGCATTTAAATTCTGTTATCATACATTTATTAGAGTTCCATACTGATTCTTCTCCAACAATACTAACCTTTTGGTGTCAAAGTGGTGGTTTGTGTGGTCGATGCTGCTGTATGATCGATAAAAAATATCAGAATTGAGAATATGCAATAAACCATCAAGGGACCAAGTCGAAGAGGCTTCCACTTCGAGTGGAGGTCAGCATTATTGTCCAGCTAAGGGGCAAGAAAAATTTATTTTACAGATGCAGGGAAAAATAAGGTCTTTCTCCAATTACAGTACAAACCAACGAACCAAATAATGCTAAGAGATTTAAACAAGTAGTCCGAATGGTTATTTCGATACTAAAACATAAACACTTATGGAATGGTATCAAAGAGTTGTCTTTGTTCACTTTTCCGGTCTTCCTTAAAGAAAATTGCAGCCTTGGAAATCATCTTGAATTTCTCTAACTTCCTCTTAACTTCTGCCAAATTTTGAGGTGAACAAATTATGACAAATTTCGTCAATTTCTGAGCACACTCGAGTATATACCTTGCAAATTCAACTTCATTGAACTCATCTAAAAGCTCTGTGGTCAAGCTCTCCAGTTGATTAATAAATGCAGGTTTGTGCAGTTTCCAGTATAAAAATCCATGTTTCTGGAAAGACAGTAAATCAAAAACCTGATCAGTCTTGAAGATTAATTCCAAAAGCAAACAAAAAAGGAAAAAGATTAAAACTAAATAAAATTAAAAGGTGAAGGAAGTTGAGGTTCCACTCCATAACCAATTGGAAATTGGGGGAGTAGCCCAACTCCTTATAAGTCCTTTCAAGGTTTGTTAGTTTTCCAATGTGATACATTTTTCACCTTCACATTCTCACAAAAGGCATGCATTATACTCAAATGCCTAGAGAATATTACCCCAATTCTAGAAATCATGAGAGAGAGCTTTTTTTTGGGGGGGGGTTTTGTATAGAGGTTTGAGAGAGAAGCAAATAGTAACACAAACTTCAACTTACATATGATGTAGGGTCATGAAAACGTTGGCGACGTCTTATGTCTAAGTCATACAAGTTAGGCATCCTCCTAAAAAGAGAGACCATTGAAGGGACTACATCGTCACTTATGCTCCCAATATCTATACGCAAACGACGAACATTCTCGAATGAAACTGGCATGGACCCTTCCAGCTTGAACATAACCTGCAATGTTGTGTAGGCAAAATCTCTATCATGTTTCCCAATTTAAACTTCAGATAAATAATAATTAAAAATAAGTAAATTCTCTCAGGTTCTTTCTACTATACCTTAATGAGAGATTCGTTTAGAGTGAGAGCGTAACTGCGAATGGTTATTTTGATACTAAAACATAAACACTTATGGAATGGTATCAAAGAGTTGTCTTTGTTCACTTTTCCGGTCTTTCATTCTCGGACAAAGCATTTAGAAGTTGACTACCACTATGTTCGGGAGAAAGTAATTCGTGGTGAGTTACGTGTGAATTATATTCGTTCCCAAGATTAGGTCGCTGATTTGTTCACTAAAGGTCTCAGTTCTTCTCGGTTCAAGGCTCTTGTTTTCAAGCTTCATGTTCTCCAAGGACCACTCAGCTTAAGGGGGGCTGTTAGACCAAGGTCTGACGTGGATAAGGATGCTGGGGTTTTGAATTTGAATGATAGTTCTTTATCCTCTGGTTCTTTTTGAATGAGGAGCTTTGTATTGTATAGAACTCTATCACTTAATAGCTGAAATCCTAATTTGTAGGAACAGCATTCTGTTTTTCAAACCTGTACTTATCAATACAATCAATATTGTTAAAACTGGTCCTATCACATTTCTATATCATATGATGTGGCAACTGATGTGTACATACCACATCAGCTAATTAACGTGATTAACACTTTTTTTTCTTTATTAAAATATACTTCATTGATTTAATTGATGTAGCATATGATATGCATATGTTACGTCATGTAATATAAAAATGTGAAATAAAATGGGAAATCACATTTCACACCAAATAACCCTCGTACCATTATAACAGAAAAGCTGTTCCTATAAATACCTGTTTTTCAAACCTGCACATCATGTGGTATTATTCTAACCGAATTGCACCTCCAAAACAATTATAACCAGTTTTATTCCTTTTTGGTAGAATAGTAAATCACCTAATAAAGAAGAGGGACTTCAAATCATCCAAGTCACCTGGATTGTTTGGGACTCCAATACAATTAATGAGCTTTCTAGCGACGAAGAAATTAACCTAAACTAAGAGGAGTTGATAATGATCTCAGTGCTCTTGTATTTGATTTATGAAAAATTCAAGGAAATTAACATTCTTTATACATATGAACTTATATTCAATCAATATTTCTATTTATTGTATACTAACCTTTTGGCATGCACTCGTGCGCACGTTAATTAGTTTTTTTTGTTGTTATGAAGATAAATTAGTTTATTGACTTGCGCTCACGCTTGTGTTATATTTTTATTTATTTATTTTATTTTACCCTTATTTGTAAAGAATTTTTGTGGCACATTGATTCATATGTCATATTTTATTTTATAATTATTTGCATTTTAATAGTTTTCTTGCAACAAAATAGAACAATATTGTGGGCCAAAAGTCGAAAGTCCAACCAAACAAGGAAGTGTAAAATTACTGTCATGGGCCTGCGAGTGTAGCCCAAGTGATCACAACCAGCTGTCGTCTCGATCGACCTTGTTGCTGCCTATCGAGAGCTTGAATCCCCAAATCTGTTGGACGAAATCAAAAGCCCTAACACAAAAGAGAATTACAAGTAGATTCCAATATCAAATTTAGACCACATTCCATCTATCTATAGTACTTGATATATGTTTTTCTCGAGTATATCATAGTTTGCATAACATCTTTGCAAGAACAACCTATGACTTCATTCTATGCAATGAGAGCGTCGACGAATAAGATTGGTAAAGAGTAATGAGAGACCATTAGGCAGTATTAGCAAGCACAAATGAATTATTCCAAGCTTTTATAGGTGGAAAATTTGTTCTGTTCTTCCCTCAAACCAACCTTTGCAAAGTGAACGGGCATGATCTCCATTAGTAGTAAAATGATCAGAGAACCCTAGTGCATTTGGGCTTCCTTGTAATTCTCTCAGCTCCAGCTCTTCATCATCCACAAGCATTGCGATCTTATCCAAGTGTTCTTGGGAATCTGCTCCTTCCAAAGCAAGTTCACATTTTTCTTTACTTGCCAGAGTCTGATTCTCATTGTTAGATTCCACCTTGCATCCAAAAGCAATCAAATGTTGTTCAATCGGATAACTTAAACCATATATTTGCAAGAACAATTTTTTCACTTACCTCTCTTCTTTTGACGAACTGTTTCCTCTTTTCTTGTACCTTATTTCATACTCGTCTCTGTGAAGGCAACAAATGTCAGACAACTTTCTAAAGGTAACCACTCAGATCGACCTTTAAGATGATCATCCCAAAAGACTTTCTCACATATCTGCAAGCAATACATACTAAATCACATTTTTGTTGCAATATTCTGTTCCGAGTTACTGGTTTTCGTGATACACAAGTTAGCAAAACCCATGTCAACAGGAAAATCTCTAGCATCAGGATTGGTTGCTCGCCAGACCGTCATCAAACCTTTTCCAACTCGAGGTTTTTTTAATAATAAACAGAGTATAGCCGCTCGGGTATACTATAAAAATTAGTATAGTCGGGCGGGTATACTATTTTTGACACGTGGCGAAATGGGCTCTAGGCGACAGGCGGGTCTCTTTTTATAATATAAATACAGTATAGCTGCGCAGCTATACTATGGTTTTTATTTTAAAAAATAGTATAGCCACTCGGCTATACGAATTTGACACGTGGAGAATAGGCTCAGTCGCAGGGGGCTTTTTTATAAATTTGTATTTTTATAAATCGTATAGCCGTTCGGCTATACTCGGGATATTTTGTTATTAAAAGCGTATATCCGCGGGCTATACTCTGGAGATATATATATTTTTTCAAAAGCATATAGCCTCCTGGCTTTACTGGCGTCTTTTTTATTATATATTTTATTATTATTATTATTATTATTTATATATTTTATTTATTTTTATATATATATATATATATAGTATCGCTGACCGGCTATACTCTTTACATAAGACACCGTTACCATTTTGAGTTGACTGGTAGTTTTTGGAAGAGTTCGATTAAAATGATTTTCAGAAATGCTTGCCTCTTCTAGGAATCTAAGAAGCTAGGAATCTGTATTCGTCCAAAATCATTGTTGCTTAGATCCATGTAGTTCAGATGCTTTAAATTTAGTAGAGAAGTATCTACCTTGCCACCCAAAGAGTTTTCTTGATACAAACTGCAATTCAGATACTCATCTGAATAATAATATCCAAGGTGCAGCTCACGGACATGACCGGTTAAATTGTCGCAAACAACTCCAGTCCAATTGCAACAATCTCCCTTACCAACCCAAGATAAAAGCCTATTTGAAGGATCCTTAAGATCTTGCTTGAACATTAGAATTGCTTGTCTCTCATTTTGTTCACAAGGCACACCCAAATTTCCATTGCATGCATAAGCTAATGGTAGTAATGGTTGCAATGCTTAGAAATCTGAACACTCAAACAATTCTCATGGCTTTGTCCACGAGGTTATATCTTAATAGGTGATGTGTGTGAGCAATATAACTCAATTAGAAATGGTGCAATATATACACATACTACTACACTAGAACTGAGAGTGAAGGTCCAAACTCAATATTTTTTCAAAATCATTTTAAAAAATGGTGAACAAAGTCGTTGAGTATGTAGACTAGTAATAAGTTATGGGTTTATCCAGAGAAAGAAGACAGAAAAAAATAGAAAAGAAAGTGTGGGATGACTTGATAAAAAAACAAAAGCAAAATAAAAGATTAGCATAACCTCTTCGGCTGACGGGGACTAAATTCATCAGATTTTGTAAGAACATATAACTAGGTAAAGTTTCAAAAGTTGAAAACACAGAACATACATGAAGAAAACGAAACAAATAAACAAATAATTCAGATGGAATCACAAATTCCATATTACAATTAGGATCAAAATGGTTTGCTTCTGGTCATTGGTTAGGGAAAGGTACGGTTAAAATAATAATATTAGATAGATCTAACTATGACCACAATTATGTATCCAAACCAATCTATAAGCACATAGCAAGAACATATCCTCTCAGACAAAGCTATATGGCCACAACTGACAAAAGGGATCAGGGAAATTAGTAATTGCTTGTATAGATGGCTTCCACCTTCCATTCCACCTATATAAAATCACACTATTTCCCTTGCTTAGTCACAAAGCAGAACAACTTTGTACAACAAAAATAACTTCAGTATTATAGCTCTACCTCTAAAATTATTTTCAAATATGACAAAACCACCTACGTATATCCTTGGCTAGCCTATGTTTTGCATGACAGGGCTCTACTGCATGATCAGAAAGGCTGCAAATTTCATTAAGCCAAAGCAATCGTAGGGCAACTCTTTCTTGGCAGGTCAATGAAAGTGATTGTACAATTGTAGCTGCATCAGTCACCAGTGCCTGCCAAGAAAGAGGAGCCCTATGACTGCTTTGCTTATTTGACAAGTACTTCTTCTAGTATGTATAGATGCCCCTGCTTGTGTTTCAGTGATGGACCGGCACAAGTTATATAAGGGCTCAAAGACTCCAAGAGATGGAATAAACCAGTAAGCACAAATGGCATATCCTGAGGATTATGCTGTGAACATCCATCAAGGGCTGCTTTTCAGGGATTTTGTTGGGGCCATGGCTCACTCTGCTGCTAGATTTTTCTCCTCCTTATCCGAGCCTTGAAAGCGCTCTTTCCTAGCACATGAGATTCTTCCACTCTTTGTGTCCACGAAAATGTGCAATGAAGTTGAAGCAGGAAAAAAGTAGATGAAAGGAGATGCCTCCCCATATTATTGTAAGGGGCTAAGAAAGAAGGGCTAACAGCATATCCTAATCTCTTATTCGTCTTCTTTTCTTTTTGAATAATGCTACTCTTACCACATTTGTATAGCACATTCTCATATCACCTTATGTGGTAGATGAGATGGATAGCCACATCAATTAAAATTATTTAATATTTTCTTTTCTTTTATGATTTATTAACACTTTAAAAAAAAACTGTTAATTAAACTTTCTTTATTAAAATACACCTCATTGATTTAATTGATGTGGCATATGATATGGACATGCCACATCATGTGGTATAGAAATGTGGGATAAAAATGTGATAAGTGTAGCATTACTCTTTCTTTTTGCCTACGTCTGTATATTAGTAATTTCTGTCTTGAATACAAAAGAGTCTCACTTTTATAGGATATCCAAATTAGTTTGACTTTAGTTAATCTGCTGCACAACCATGCCATAATTGTGCGCAATGCCTCATTCATTAATTTGGTAATCATTTTTTAAATCTTTCTTTTGCGAACGATGTACAAAAAAAATCATCACAACTAAAGAAAAATAAGGCATGCCTGAAGGACTTCATGAAGTTAGAGCAGCCCATGTGATCTAAGTTCTGAAAGTGCTTGCCATGCTCCAAAGGCTAACCTGACCGAATTTGATCACTATTTTGACTTGAAAATACATGTAATATATGCTGAGTTTTTAAACATCACTTTCATTGATTGGTTGGTAGTAGATCTCTCTTTCATTCGATGTCTTGCTAGTTTCAAATGTATTTGGTCGCTATTCCTTCACAAAACCCACACATAACAAGACAGACATTATATATATATATATATATATATATATATATAATATTGTTGTGTAAAGCTTGTCAATAAACTATTACAAGCGAGTCATGACTTAATTACAGTAGAATAATAGTCTTAGATTGAGGCAGTAATATATATTATTAAGTTCTCATCTCTCTGCAAAATACATACAGTTTAGGAAATTCCTGCAATGAATCTAGATGGGAATTCTGAATTTCCACAATCATCATACCCTTGGTGCAAATAAACTATCAGATATAAAATAGGGAGCAGAATCTTCAAAACAATAACAAAAAAGGAATCTTGGGTGAGAATCACAGACAACGATTGCAAAAAATTGAACGCCCAGTGCCTAGGCCGATTTTTCCAACACTGTTTAAAACTCCTACAAACTATTTCAGTTGTTCTCAAATGATCCATAACTCTAATTAACGAGCACAAAATGACATACATATGGGAATCACAGTCACAGACAACGATTGCGAAAATCAGCAGCCGAGCGCCTAGTCGTCGCCTAGGCAGATTTTTCCAACACTGTTTAAAACTCCCACAAACTATTTCAGTTGTTCTCAAATGATCCGTAGGCCACGACCATCTTTCGGAAGTCAATTTCCTATGCAAGGTGTGATCAGCCTTTCACACCGATACATTCAAGGTGCTAGGCAGGAGGACACCTCCGCGATTTCATCCTAAACGTAAGGAGTAGCCGCCAGGGAGTTGGCCGCCGCCTAGGCCGCCTAGCGCCCACCTAGTCCGCCTAGCTCCCGCCTAGGCCGCCTAGCGCCCGCCTAGGCAGCCTGGGCTGGTCTGGGCTGGCGTTTTGCCGTTGAGGCGTCGATGCTTAAGGTGGCATTGAGGCACTGCATGAAGAAAGACAGAGAGAGAGAGAGATGAAGTCGAAACAGCGAGAGGAAGCAGTGTAGGCTGTGCTGGGAAGAAGAAGACATCTAACCTAATTTTTAATACAACTAACGGATTGGGTTTTGTAAAATGGGCTTAAACCTTGTATTAAAATGGCCCTATATATCAGTTTTTATTTTAATTATATTTTTTTAATATAAAAGTAAACCTTGTCGCAGACCACTCCAGTCCAATTGCAACAATCTCCCTCACCAACCCAAGATAAAAGCCTATTTGAAGGATCCTTAAGATCTTGCTTGAACATTAGAAGTGCTTGTCTCTCATTTTGTTTACAAGGCACACCCAAATTTCCATTGCATAAGCTAATGGTAGTAATGGTTGCGATGCTTAGAAATCTAAACACTCAAAAAATTCTCATGGCTTTGTCCATGAGGTTATATCTTAATAGGTGATGTGTGTGAGCAATATAACTCATTTAGAATGGTGCAATATATACACATACTAGAACTGAGAGTGAAGGTCCAAACTCAATATTTTTTTCAAAATCATTTTTAAAAATGGTGAACAAAGTCGTTGAGTATGTAGACTAGTAATAAGTTATGGGTTTTTCCAGAGAAAGAAAACAGAAAAAAATAGAAAAGAAAGTGTGGGATGACTTGATAAAAAAAACAAAAGCAAAATAAAAGATTAGCATAACCTCTTCGGCTGGCGGGGACTGAATTCAAACTTCGTAAGAACATATAACTAGGTGAATGGTTTGTTATACGTATGTACTTGAGCATCATGTTATCCTGTGAGTGCAAGGTCTGCAAGTTAGTAGCATCCTAGTTCTCTTTAGGTTCTGATTAATATTTTGCTTCAAGTCACTGTGATATTGGTATCTTAATTTATTGTTTTAGAAAACTTTCCCCTGTTTGATGTAATTCTTTGGTATGACAAGAAAGGGAAACTGTTATTTCTAGTTTCGGAAAATAGAAGATACATGGTTCCATAGTTTAGAAGAAAGGTTCTAGAGTCTGACAAGAAAGGGAAACTTGAATCAGGTTTATATTTGTATGAAATGTTGGGACATAGATTTTTATCCTAAGAATCGTACTCCTTTCTGGACTCTCTAGTTTTGGTCTGGTGTTTCAGGATTCTAGTTTTGCCTTACTCTTTCTTTTTCTTTTTAAAGTAAAATTCTTCATATCCAGTAATTATTTTGATTTCATAAGCCGTTTTGTTTCTGAGAGCCTCGTGTCTTATGTTTTTTGGAGTCTTAAGATGAGCTGAAAGTGCTTACAGTCTATTATGGTATCTTCTCTGTTTTTGTTGATCTACTGATCTGTACACACAGATGCATGAAATTAATTTTGATGTTTTTCTGACCCTGTCGTATTTGTGAATTGTAGCACTCATTCTCACAATAATGCTTAGCTGTAGAAACGGCTTCATGTGGGACGGACGTCTGAATGATTCTAACCGCGCCTTGTTCAAACTATTTGGGCTGGGTCGATTAGCCCAGTTACTGGAGCAGATCAAGTTAATTTTTCACCCGGGTATAGCCGCGCGGCTTTACTTTGTTGACACGTGGCACCTTGGCGCTAGGCTGGTCTTTATATATATATATATCATGGCTTGTAGCACTCCAATTATACCAAAGGACTTCTTCATGAAAACAGACCAAGAACTGTATGGAGAAGACGAAAATAAAAATAGTTCTGGTTTTGAAAAAGTTACAAGGACCCCAGATGACCTGCAAAGAGACATCCAGCATAAGATCAATGGATGAAGAGAATAATATGTCTCAAAGTGTTTGGTTCTTCAGAAAGTATCTTCATACAAGAAGTCACAATAACGTGACTAAAACCAGCATGGAAGCTGAATTTGAATCAGAAATTATCAAAAGGCATTCATCACCCCGCCCTTTATTACCACCTAAATTTCTTGGTAGTAATAATTTCCCAGGACACCGGCTATCTTTGCCAGAGCAACAGTTGCTTCCTTGATTGCGGTACGTTTTCCTTGCATTCGTTATTATATATGCTTATTATGTTTGGGTACCGATGTTGGCACAATCTGTTTATGCTTCTAGAACGTCCACTGAGAGTCTTTAAAAGGAATTAAATTGAATTTCTACAAGCTAAACTAGGAGTGCCAAAATCGTTACCCTAATTATTTCTTGTGTTATAACATTAGTTTCCCTTTTGAAGTTAGTCCTCTTCAATTTTTGTTGTGTGTGTACATACACAGATGTGATGATCAATCCAACAGGACTTCAGAACAACTTACAATATTTTATGATGGGATTATCAATGTCTATGACAATATTCCTGCTAAGGTGAATAGTTTAAAGAAATGCACACAAATTTTTAATTTCGGGAAATAATAATGTGCCCAAAGCTTGAAATCCGTGATGTCTATGTTGTGACTGCCATATTTGACTGTTCAACTTCTTTTTCCTGAAAATAATTTTCTCAAACAATTTATTATAATGTTATATCTTACCAAATTGTGAATAATTATATAAAATTATCTGCTATATTGATTCCCATAGAAAACTCATCGGTCAAACCTCTTGTCATTGTAGGCTTCATCGTGGCTCGCTAGACTGTCCCAATTGAACCAAAACCTTTTTGCTCTTGACAATGATACTTTTCGATACTCCTCTGAGTTTACTTAGAGTCAGAGTTAATTCATCGACTCTTGCAAATAGACCAATTATAGATGATAAGAGGATCAATATATAGGATGGAAATGGTAGAATTTTGTTTCAATGGTTCCGAAAACAAATGCGAATAATAATAATTGACAATTAAGCAAATGAGTAATCATTTGTATCCAGAGGATGATTGTATACACGTGTGTTTTTCATGTACAAAATCGAAAAAGCTAATATATATATTTGGTGGTTTAGGATGTTGAGGAGGGTGACTCTTGTTTTAATCAACTGCCTAAATAGGCAGTCAAGTTGTTCTTCCTGATCTTGAATGCATGACTCCAGATTGTCAAGCTGGTTGTCTGCATTCTTGTTGTCAGATTTGCTTGTCTTAAAGAATGGTTGCAGAGCAGCATCCACTTGGGCAAATTCATTTGCTTCTGTTTCTTCCTCGCAAGCTACTTTTTTAGTGTGAATAATCTTGGAAACCAATAACCAGCTGCTGCTCGGCTTTGAATTTGGACCAGAGATGAAGGACAGGAGTGATTCAAACACTGAGAGAGTGACTGCCTTGATATCTCTCAACGTGCTAACAACGGCAGTAGTCTATTGTCCTTGCTGAGGGATGAGAAACTGGATCCCTTGAGATTTACCATAGCCTTGTGGATTGCCTTCTTCACCATCTTCCTTGAGGTCAAGTATTTCCTGACCTCAGTTGTGAGTGCTCCAGATTCACCTCCTTGCGTTCTTCGCATGATCGATTGAAGGTCCTGTACGCATTCCTTGGTTTGCAACAGGGCATCCTTGGCACTGCTAGAGCCTGAGAGAACCATCTAATAGCTCATTAGTTGATTTCTCATTCTGCTCTTGGGCCAAGGCTTGTTGAGTGAGGGGCAACTGAAGCAACCTATCAACACAATCATGCAAGTCTTGAAGGCCAGTTAGTTTGTGGCTGATTGATGTTGATGATGTGGAGGTGGCCTCAGAAGACCTCAATCTACACAAATGTTCATCAACTTCTTGAACGATTGGGTGTGGCCTTGAAGGGAAGCTTAGAGAGAATGTGGCAAGCCATTTCTTCTTGTTGTGTATTGTGAGAAGATAGAATAGAAGACCTTGAAAGAAGTGGTTAATGTAATATATTTTCCATGTGTTTGTTTAATATATAGTGTTGGTTGAGGAGGGGTCATGGTCATCCTCTTCAATCATATTAGTGAGAAGGGTAACATGATTTGAATTGGATCCCAACTCATGAACTCATTAATTTAGCTTAACTAACATATTGGACAGAGTTCTATAAATTAACATGCTTAACCCTAATGCATAAACTCAATTATATGCTGATCAAGTTCATATTATTTTTCAGGTCCTTGGCATGATTGTTAAGCAAGTAGCAGGCAAGATTTGCAATCTGTATTTTTCAATGATCATGTGCAATTGCGTTATGCTTCCATGATGTTGAAAAATGGTTTGTAGCTAGCAGACTTTATGAATTGGACTGCTCCCCAAACATTTTATTTCGAATTAATAAGCAAAGCAAAAGTGGATTGGCTGCCTACTGTGGTTGGAGAGATTGACAGAAGTAAATGTATAGGTTTTGAATTATATCTGTACAGGTAATGGAAAATCGTAGAAAACTAAAAAAGGTGGCAGTCAGGTGAAGAGCAGAGCAAGGCCTACCGTGATCGACAGCTGCTCTGATAAGCCACCATGGTTGCTCGTAGGGTAGCCCACGAGCAACCGTGCCGAGAGCATTGTGTCATAGGTTGTCCACGTCATACACTAAGTTCCAAATTCCACCTTTAATGCCCCCATGTTGGGTCACAAGCTCACATTACTAAGCTCGGCGAGCAAAGTTTTAGGAGTTAATAACATTAAGTACATAACACGTATTATATTTTTCCAATGTGGGATCTACGGTTATTTCAAGAGAGAAGAGGAAAAGGAATAGAACTCTATTACAAGCAGTTCGGTAATTTTCTTGTATATAATTAAAGGCCTTTGGAGAATTTATTGTGTATGCTTCGTGCAAGTATATATACATCACAATCGTATGGCCGAGTTTAGACATCCTTCTTGGTATAATGTTTACTGCTCAAAGCGTGTAGTCAAATGCTCCTTTGAATGCTAGACATTAGTTGTTGATTATTCATCTCCCTTGAGATATTTGATTTGCTTGCAAAAATCCCATGTGATCTCAATCATAATTTCAGAAACTCCTTTGAATTTATTGAGATTATCCCACGTGAGGATGAAACTTTTGCATTAATAGTTTAAATATTCTTGGCCTCTACAAATTTGTTTCGGGTCAAACACTAACCACCTAAAAAAAATTATTTTTTTCCTTTTTTTGTAATTTTTTTTAATCTTGGTCTCTATCTGTTAGGAAGATGTTCTCTGAATTAACTTTAATCTTGGTCTCTATCTGATAGCATGATAATAATTTGAATATTTACGAAGCAGATTGGGCATGAATTTGATATCAGATAGATGATGTATTTGCATGCAAGGTATGCTTTGTTATGTTCAAAATCGAAAAGCTAATACATATAAAAACGAAAAAAAAAGCGAGGAATTGGGTTGGCATCGTGGGTTGTGGGAGGAGGGAGGTAAAAAAGATGGTGGTCATTGGTCAAGTCAAGAGCGGGTCTCAGTCGGCCCAGAGTGAGATCAGATGCCGTTATGTCTGCCACAGCTGCTCTGATAAGTCAACTGCCTTTCCACAATGTTGCCAACCAGCCAATTGAGATTAGCCGTCAACTTGGGAGCATCTTTGTAGAAGCCTACTATAACCATAGGGGAAACACCGGCACTGGACCTGTTGGTCGCGTCTAAACAAGACCTTCCCACATTCCACCTTTAATGCCCCCACACGTTACTAGGCTCGGCAATCAAAATTTTAGGAGTTAACAATATTAAGTAGTTAACAAGGGTTATGTTTTTTCAATGTGGGATTAATGTTTTTTAAAGATAGAAGGAGAAAATGACTCTATATTAATTACAAAACAATCCTCCTTCCGCATGGGTTAAAAGGATGATTATACCAAGGGGAACACGCCAAATTGTATCCTGTTTGTCCTTCCAACAGAAGGAAGCCCTAGCCTTCAGGTTCATCCAAAGGTCCAAAATTCCTCTTGGTATTATGTTTTCTTCTGAAAGTTGTTGATTATTCATGAGTGGTTGTATGTGACTTTTGGACACCAATGACCAGCTGCTTGTCTGTGACTTTGGCCCGGAGATGAAGGAAGGAAGTGATTCAAACACTGGAAGAGTGACTGCCTCTACTTTCTCTCAACTTGCTAACAATGGCAATGGTCTCATGATCCTAGTTGAGGAAAGTGAAAGTTGATCTGTTTTCTATTGCCTTGAGATTCTTCATAGCCTTGTGGATTTTCTTTTTCACCATGTTCCTCAAGGTCAAGTATTTGTTAACCTCATGTGACTCCAGTTTCTCACCTCCCTCCCCGCCTTCTTCGTAGGATTGATTGAAGTTCTTGTGCACATTCCTGGGTTTGCAACAGGGCATCCTTGACACTGCAACAAACATCCAAGAGCCTAGGTGAGTTATCTAATAGCTCATTAGTCAATTTCTAATTAATTATGGGCCAAGTCTTGTTGAGTGAGGGGCAACTGAAGCAACCTATCAATACAATCATGCAAGTCTTGGAGGCCACTTAGCTTGTGGCTCTGATTGACGAGGAGGATGTGGAGGTGACCTCAGAAGGATCTTAATCCACACAAATGTTCATCGACTTCTTGAACGGGTGTGGCCTTGAGGGGAAGCTGTTGGAGCGGATGTGGAAAGCCATTTCTTCTTGTTGTGTATTGTGAGAAGATAGAATATAAGACCTTGAAGAAGTTGTGGCTAATGTTCTTTTCCATATGTTACTGCTTAATATATAGGGTAGGTTGAGTTGGGGGACATGGAATCTTGAGAGAAGTAACATGATTTGAATTTGATATCAGAGGATGTATTTGTATACAAGTAGGATGTTGAGGAGGGAGACCCTTGTTTTGATCAATTTGCCTAAATAAATAGGCATTCAACTCCTTCCTCCCGATCTTGAATTAATGGATGGCACTAGCTTGATGTATGCTCTCTACACAAATTAAATTTTAATGCCATAAAAAAAGGAAAAAAAAAGTAAGTTAAATAAATAAAGATTAAAATTTAAGTTAAAAATAAAACTTGTAAAAAGGAGGCGGTTAGGTCAAGAGTAAACACCACCTCGGCCTGGCCCAGTAAGTTCGTAGTGGGCGGACTCAAATTCCTGGGCACTGGCGTCTTTGAAGAAAGCAACTTTTGTGGCTGGGCCACTAAGTAGTGCAATTAAATAATGGGCTGAACTTAGGGCACTGGGCCGTAGGTTTTCTACGTGATAAGACCAATTTCACATTCCACCTTTAATGCCCCTATATTGGGTCACAAGCCCACGTTACTAGGCTCGACAATCAAAATTTTAGGAGTTAACAATATTAAGTACTTCACAAGTATTATACTTGTCCAATGTGGGATTTACTGTTTTTTCAGGAGAGAAATCTTTTTATTATTTCTACTATCTTTATTCTCAATATGAAAGAAAGGTAAAATTCAAATCCCATCATCTACACATGGATACCCATTGATTAAAAAAAATTGATGATATTGCAGCAAGCAAGATCATATCGTAATTAAGCTCAAACCCTTATTTAGGCAAGTTGATGATAATTGCAGGAATTCAGGATTAGTAATAGTTAACCATATAGGCACCAAAATTCACTGATATTTTAAACAAGAACAAGAGAGTACGTAGTAGCAATTTAAGTGAAGGAGTCTATCCCAAGGTCCAAAATTTCTCCAAGTACGCAACACAACCGTATTGCCATGTATAAACTTCTTCAATTATCGGGTGGCCTTGAAGGGAAGCTGTTCGAGCAAGTGTGGAAAGTCATTTCTTCTTGTTGTGTCTTGTAAGAAGATAGAAGATGTATCTGCATAATCCATATGCATGTTCCCCAGGCGATGTTTGTGCAATGTCTCTTCCCACACTATAGCATAACAACTTGTTGAAATATAATCCTTCTACAGATTTCTTAGAGCTGAAGCCATTTTCTATTTTCTGTTAAGTCTATTTTAAATGATGTAATGAGAACCATTAGATCATAGTCTAGGTGGATTCTCTAGCTTAGATTTGGTATGACACGTGTAAGCACCTAATAGGGTGACAGCTGTAATTCTGTTATGAGAGAATCACATTTCTCTCTCTGTCAGACACGCTATGTAAGCTGCAGATTGTAAGAATTCAATGGAACAGTGCATTCCCATTTTCTCTTCATTCTCTCTAGCTAAAATCTCCAGAATATACACCTCTTCCTAATCTGAAAATACATATACAAACTGAGAATTCTAACATGGCCTCAGAGCCTGGTTCGATTGTTTGTTGGGCGTGAATCTGTGAGAATCGAGCTGGTGTTTGGCTGAGCTGACGTTGAGCTCACTCAAAATTTCACGAAGCTTTTCTAGCTGCGTCTGATGTCTAACATGGCAGGATCAAGCTCTTCTGAGCTTCGTACACCAGTTTTCAATGGAGAAAACTATGAGTTTTGGAGCATTCGAATGAAGACCATTCTGAAATCTCATGGACTGTGGGATTTGGTTGAAAATGGTTTTGATGCTTCAGATCCAAAGAAAAAAAAAGGAAAGGAAGAAGGATCTAAAGCTGCTGAAGAAGAGAAGTCTACATCGGCTGAGATTTTGATGAAAGATGCTCGTGCACTTGGACTGATCCAAGGTGCAGTCTCAGACCAAATTTTTCCCAGAATAGTGAATGAAGAAACCTCAAAAGGTGCATGGGATATTCTGAAGCAGGAGTTTAGAGGCGATAAACAGGTACGAAGTGTGAAGCTACAAGGCTTACGTAGAGAGTTTGAATACACTCGTATGAAGGATAGTGAGTCATTCTCTAGTTATGTTGCTAAACTGTTTGATCTAATTAATCAAATGAAAAGTTATGGTGAAGAGTTACCTAGAGAAAGAGTTGTGCAGAAATTGCTTATTAGCTTGCCTAGATCTTATGACTCTATATGTTCTGTGATTGAGCATTCAAAGGATCTTGACACTCTTGAAATTCAAGAAGTGGTTGCGTCTCTCAAGAACTTTGAACTCAGGTTGGATAGGCACATTGAAAATTCCACAGAAAAGGCTTTTACTAGCCTGAACATAGAGAGTAAAAGCTCTAAGAATGGAAGTTCTTCTGGAGGTAACAAGTCTCAGAGGAACTGGAAGGAAAATGGAAGTTCTTCTAATCCCAAACCAAATGCATCAAATGATGGAACTAAAACACCTTGCAAGCACTGTGAAAAACTGCACTATGGCAAGTGCTGGTTTGAAGGAAAACCAAAATGCAGAGGATGTGGAAAGTTTGGTCACATGGTTAGAAATTGCCATGAAAATCAACCTGTGCAGAAGGTGAATTATGCCAATCAGGTTGAAGTAACTGGAACATTGTTTTATGCATGCAATGCCGTGACAGGTGTGAAATTGAACAATTCTTGGTATGTGGACAGTGGTTGTAGTAACCACATGACTGGAGATGAAAGGCTATTGATAGATATTCGAAGGGATGTAACTTCCAAGGTGAAAATGGGGACTGGAGAGACAGTTCAAGTTGCAGGAAAAGGCACACTTGTGATAGAAACCAAGACAGGCAGAAAACACATTCAAGAAGTGATGTTGGTGCCTGGTTTAGAAGAGAACTTGCTCAGTGTTGGTCAGATGATGGAACATGGGTATTGTTTAGTATTTGGAAAGGGAATGGTGACAATTTTTGATGATTGGTCACTGCAAAATCCTATAGCTAAGGTTCCAATGACTATCAATAGGTGTTTCTCTCTCACAATGGTACCTGCTACTCAGTTGGTGCTGAGAGCGAGTGTGACTCACAGTTTGCAGACTTGGCATAAAAGGCTGGGCCATCTTAATGATCAAAGCATCAGGATGCTGGCAAATCAAGACATGGTTCATGGACTGCCTAGTCTGGAGAAGGATTTTGCAGTTTGTGAAGGCTGCAAGCTGGGAAAGCAGCATAGAGACTCATTTCCTGCAGAATCTACTTGGAGAGCTCAGTTTCCACTTGAATTAGTCCACACTGACATCTGTGGTCCTATGCAGATTGCATCAATGTCAGAAAACAGATATTTCCTGTTATTCGTTGATGACTATACAAGAATGGCTTGGGTTTATTTTCTCAGAAATAAATCTAATACTTTTGAATGTTTCAAGAAGTTCAAAGCAATGACAGAATTGCAGAGTGGACACAAGGTGAAATCACTTAGAAGTGACAGAGGTGGAGAATTCATGTCAAATGAATTTCTTGCATACTGCAGTGAGGCTGGAATACAAAGGCAGCTGACTGTAGCTTATTCCCCTCAACAAAATGGAGTTGTTGAGAGGAAGAACAGGACTGTAATTGAGATGGCAAAGTCTATGCTACATGAAAAAAGACTTCCATATGAGTTTTGGGCAGAAGCTGTTCATACAGCAGTCTATCTTCTCAACAGGTGTCCTTCTAAGTCTCTTAAGAAAATGACACCATTTGAGGCCTTCACAGGAAGAAAGCCAGGTATTGCACACTTGAAAGTGTTTGGATGCCTATGTCATGTGCTTATTCCTTCTGTTTTGAGACACAAGTTGGAAGAAAACAGTCACAAATGCATCTTTGTGGGCTATGGATTGTGTGAAAAAGGCTATAGAATGTATGATCCTAAGACTAGAAAGATTATCTTGTCTAGGGATGTCTATTTTGATGAAGAAGCCTCATGGAAATGGGAGAATCCTAGCAATGCAGATGTGAGAGTGCCTATGCCAGATGGAAATCAAGGTACTGCAGAAACTGAACAGAGGGTATTAGATGAACAACCTCAGTTTTTGGATACTCAAATGCAGATGGAAGAAGAAATTGCACCTCAAGGGGAAGAAATGCTTGATGAGACTCAAAGGTTTGATCACACACCTCACAAGTGGAGGAGTATTAATGACATCATGACACAATGCAACATGTGCATTGTAGAACCTGACAGCTTTGAAGAAGCAGATTTGGATGAATCATGGAGAAGTGCAATGGAGGCTGAATTCGAGATGATTAAGAAGAACAATACATGGAAATTAGTTGACAGGCCATTTGACAAACCAGTAATTGGTGTTAAGTGGATCTACAAGGTCAAACTGAACCTAGATGGTACTGTGCAGAAGAATAAAGCTAGGCTTGTGGCTAAAGGCTATTCACAGAAGCCTGGAATCGACTATAATGAGACATTTGCCCCTGTGGCAAGACTTGACACCATCAGAACCTTGATAGCCCTTGCAGCACAAAAGGAATGGAACCTATTTCAACTGGATGTGAAGTCTGCCTTTCTCAATGGCATTCTAAAGGAGGAAGTTTATGTTGAACAACCTCAAGGATATGTTCAAGAGAGCAAGGAAACCAAGGTGTACAGGTTGAACAAGGCTCTATATGGACTGAAACAAGCCCCAAGGGCCTGGTATGATGAAATAGATGCCTATTTCAACACTGCAGGTTTTAAGAAGAGTTTAAGTGAAGCTACTCTCTATATCAAAACAAGTGACACCTCAGGTATTATCATTGTCTCACTCTATGTAGATGACATTATATATACTGGAAGCTGTCCTAAAATGCTTGAAGAGTTTAAACAAGATATGATGCAACACTATGAGATGACAGACTTGGGTCTGTTGCACCATTTTCTTGGCATGGGAGTGGAACAAACTGATAAGCATATTTTCATTCATCAAAAGAAATATGCCATGAAAATTCTTGAGAAGTTTGGAATGAGAGACTGCAAGTCAGTGGCAATTCCATTAGTGGTAAATGAGAAATTGTGTAGAGAAGATGGAAGTGAAGCAGCAGATGAAAATGAATTCAGACAGATTGTAGGGAGTCTGCTTTATCTGACTGCCACAAGACCAGATGTCATGTTTGCATCTAGCTTGCTTGCTAGGTTTATGCACAATCCCTCAAAGAAACACATGGGAACTGCTAAACGGGTGCTGAGATACATACAAGGCACATTAGATTTTGGAATTGAGTTTGCAAAGGGGAAAACAGCTACTCTAATTGGGTATTGTGACAGTGACTGGGCTGGGAGTGAGGATGATATGAGGAGCACCTCAGGATATGCCTTCACACTAGGCTCAGGCATGTTCTCTTGGGCTTCCATCAAGCAAAACACAGTTGCTTTATCTACAGCCGAAGCTGAATATGTGAGTGCTGCAGAAGCAACTTCACAAGCTAAGTGGCTCAGATTTGTGCTTGAAGATTTTGGTGAAGAACAGGTAGAAGGGACTCCAATTCTATGTGACAACACCTCTGCAATTGCAATGGCAAGGAATCCAGTTCATCACCAAAAGACAAGACACATCAGCAGGAAATTTCATTTTATAAGGGAAGCCATTCAAGCAAAAGAAATTGAACTGGTGTACTGCAAGACAGAAGATCAGATAGCAGACATTTTGACTAAAGCTCTGCCTAAGGATCGGTTTGTGAGGTTGAGAAGCTTGCTTGGAGTGAAATCAGCTAAAGGATTAGAAGGGAGTGTTGAAATATAATCCTTCTACAGATTTCTTAGAGCTGAAGCCATTTTCTATTTTCTGTTAAGTCTATTTTAAATGATGTAATGAGAACCATTAGATCATAGTCTAGGTGGATTCTCTAGCTTAGATTTGGTATGACACGTGTAAGCACCTAATAGGGTGACAGCTGTAATTCTGTTATGAGAGAATCACATTTCTCTCTCTGTCAGACACGCTATGTAAGCTGCAGATTGTAAGAATTCAATGGAACAGTGCCTTCCCATTTTCTCTTCATTCTCTCTAGCTAAAATCTCCAGAATATACACCTCTTCCTAATCTGAAAATACATATACAAACTGAGAATTCTAACACAACTCATTAACTAATTAATTTATCTTATAAACTTTCTTAGTATTTTATTACAATGTTACAATCATTCAATCATAATTCACGTATATGTTTACTAATACATGGAGAGGCTATTTGTTTTGCATCATCTCGTCAAAATAAAGCATGAACTTATTATAGAGTTCAGTTTTTTTAAGTCTAACAGAAAATTCATCTGTTTATGTTGCTTCCTCACAAGACAATTTCTTCGGCTGCATCATCTTGACCACTGACCAGCTGCTTGGTTGTGATTTTGGCCCGGAGATGAAGGAAAGAAGTGACTCAAACACTGCGAGAGTGATTGCTTCAACTTTTCTCAACCTGCTAACAACGGAAAATGTCTCATCGTCCTTGTTGAAGGAAGAAAAGGTGGATCTGTTTCGGTTCCCTTGAGATTCTTCATAGCCTTTTGGATTTCCTTTTTCACCGTCTTCCTAGAGGTTAAGTATTTCCGGGCGGCTATAATGGGAAGCAGTCTGGCATTCTTTTGAGCCAGATTTGAATTTTTCTACTGAAAATAGTATAGCCGAGCGGCTATACTCGGGAATTTTTACTATTATCTTTTTTCCACAACTTTTGTTTATCGATAGCTTAGGGCATTTTCCATTACTATTAGGCCTTTACATGAGTCTCTATTGTACCCTTTTGAGTTTTTACTTTTTCAAAGTTATTAGCCGTATAAAAAATTTAGCATTTTCGTGTTTAATACTTGTATTTTACACATACGTATGTATTTTTCATGTTTAATACACTTGTTTTTCACAAAATTTTCAATAATACACATAAAATTCATGTATTATACACCCAGTTTTCACATACTATTCAATAAAAATAATATATATTCAAAAATTTAAATCTATAAAGTATAATATCTAAACTAGCAAATTAATGAATAATGCTACTCTTACCACATTTTGGTACCACAATTTGATACCACATGATGTGGCACATGACATGTCAATCCATGTCATTGACCACATCTTTAATTTTAATTTACTCCAAATTTATAATTTAATCCTGTTATTATTATTATTATTTGGGGGAAAAGGGATTTAATCTTGTTATTTAATTCATTAATTATAATAGTAATTCAAACAATCAGTCCCACCATCGAAACCTACCCAACCTTTGTTGCATAACACCATCCTCCACCCCTCTCGGCCGTTCTTTATCTCGCCCCACCACTAGAGTGTTTTCCACCGGTTTCTTGTGTGTCTATTAGAATTTTTTTTTGGGCTTGTTTTCTCTTCAGTATTGCAGATTCATCTTTTAATTGAAAGGAAGACTATTTCAGATTCTATGGTTTGTTTGTTGTTTCGTTTTACTTCTTTGGGCAGACTGTTAACTTACCAAGAAGCAATGCTTCTGATTTCAAATCAAATTCCATAATGTTATCGGTTGTGAGTGGTACTGTAATATCATCAATCTCTTTCTTGTATTGACGATCTGCATAATGAACTCAGAACTATGTGTGTATATATATATATATATCTCCACATGAAGGAAATCTCTCTAAGGGTTCATGTTGACGAAGAGGCTGTGATGACGGCAGCTGTGTGGTGGTGGTGGTATGGCAGCGGTGTATGATGGTGTTAGGGTAATATTCAATGGTGGATGATGGTGTTTCAAATGATTAAAGAATTAAATTAAAACATATGAAAAATAAGAACATTTAAGTTGAAATTAAGTGATGTGGTGGCATGTCCAAGTAAGCTGCCACATCATGTGGTATAGAATTGTGGTATAAAAATGCGGTAAGAGTAGCATGGCTATATTACGGTTTTTTTTTCAAGTATAATTAATGCAAATAGATACGGTTTTTTTTTCAAATGCAAATAGAAATATCTTTCTTGTATTGACGATCTATAAAGTATAAATCATAGCCGTGCCGGCTATAATACGGTTTTTTATTATAGAAAATAGTATAGCCGTGAGGTCCTTTTCTAAACCCTAAACATAACTCCGTCGTCATCCTCGTCTCTCTCTCTCTCTCTCTCCAGCGCCCGCCTAGCCTGCCAAGACCGCCTAGCCCGCCTAGCCCGCCTAGACCGCCTAGTCCCAGCCTAGCCCGCCTAGACCGCCTAGCGCCCGCCCAGCCCCCGCCTAGACCGCCTAGTCCCCGCCTAGCCCTCCTTGACCGCCTAGCGCCCGCCCAGCCCCCGCCCAGCCCCCGCCTAGCCCGCCTAGCGCCCGCCCAGCCCGCCTATCTCCCGCCTAGGCCGCCTAGCCCCTGCCTAGCCCCCGCCTAGGCCATTTATTTAACTCCATTCTCTGCTTTGTATGAAATAGCTTTTCAGGTGACCTTAATTGCTCAAGGGGATGTTCCTCTGTCTATTGTAATGAGGGTATGCACAACTCTTGGGCCAGTGCCCCTGGATTCAGGTTTTGGGAGAAGCTTGCCAAGTCTTAAGTGACCCAGGCCAACACCAAGCATACGATGCTTTTGGAAAATCAGGGATCTCAACGTTAGTTTCTTGCTCTTAATCTGTGAATTTATGAATTCTAAGATTGAAAGGTGTCTGACACGCACCTCATAGGTTGCCTGCATTTGTCACAGTGTATGTGTGTGTTAGCTTAACACATAGTTGCGTGTTTCTGACATTTTTTGAATGGTTCCCTTTCTTTCAGCGACTCAATTATTGATCCTGCAGCAATCTTCGCTGTGCTTTTTGGTAGTGAGCTTTTTGAGGAATATATTTGGCCAGCTAGCCATGGCATCAATGGCTTCACTAGATATTTTCTCAGAAGGGGAGCAGTTCGATCCCAAAAGGCTGCAAGAGAAAATGCGGGTACTGTTTTGTTTATTTATCCTCACTAACCCAGTGATCCAAATTCTGCCATTTATGTAACTGATTCTGCAAAGGAAATTAAGAACAAGGTTTGCGTTTGCTGTTGCTTTGGGTTTATTTGTACAACCTTTCTATTTACTGAGACTCTTGCACAATCATTATCGATGTTCTCTTATTCTAGGGCCAAAGTCTTTAATTGATGCAAGGTTTCAAATTGTAACCTTTTAAACTTTCAGTGAAAAACATGCTTCTCCATTTCTTCAAATAGCTGTCTTCCTTTTCCGAAACCATCATCTACTCTTGTCTTAGCTTTCCCACACCACCAAACCGTAGTTTCACAGTGCCAAATTTTTCTACCTGAAATCACACAGTCCAAATGGTCCAAAAATTCTTCAGGATTAACAAAATAAAGAATTTGTGTGCATGTGCAGATAAACAGGCATGCATTTTCTGGTGGACAAGATTCAATAGAGAAACATAAAGAACTTAGAGCAAATCTCGAGGTATTTGAATTGTCTCACATGTTAGTAATAGAAATTTGTCGTCCTCAATTGGTTTGAGAGTGTTATTTGTTGCTGGATCTACTACCTTCCCTTCTCATTATAGATTGTCCAAGCAAGAAAAAAAATTCTGCTTATCTGTCTGCACTTACATGCCAATTTGATTCATGTCTTATAAGATTTGTCCGTCAGTACTTGGTGCCTTTTAACTTATTGAGGAAAAAGAAATTTTGTTGGCTTGTAATTTAGCTACTCATTTTATGATTTCATCATGGATGGCATTCCTATAAAGTCAAATAAATACTATTACTGCATCCAATTTCAATAGTATATTATGCTGTGACACGTTTAATGGGGACTATCATCCAAACTATGCCCAACAGCTCATTGCCTTTTGAAGGTTAAAAAATTTCTGAGCGGTAGTTCGTTGCTCAAGATGTTGTGGAACTGATTTTACGATATGCTAATGTGATTAATATCTGATGGAGCTGTTTCTATGATTATTTCCTAAGCTTTTGTATATAAATTTCAGTGAATATATGGTCTGTTTTCTGCAGCTTACAGGTGTTGATATGTTGAATACAATTGGCTACATATATGCCAGAAAGTCAGCAAAAGAGCTAAAGGTAAAGATGTCTTTGTTTGTACGTAGACAGTAATAAACTACAGTGTTATATCGCGAGAACAGAAACTTTTATCAAATTGGAAGTTCATCCCAACTACAGTGCCAAAATCATACCTTATAAATAAAATCCATACATGCCAAGAAGATCATATCTATTTTCATAGAGAAAACCATGTTGGTACCCAAAAATTTGCTCACTATACCTGCCTAAATAATTGATGGTCAACAATTTTTTGTTTTTTCCTGTTTGACAAAAGAAAAAATAATAGAAGAAAAGAAAGGAAAAATATATGAAAAGGTTTTTTTTTTTTTTTTAAAATTAAAAAAAAAAAAAAAAAAAAAAAAAAAAAAAAAAAGACCGCGTATAATTAGCAAAGCAAATTTGGCCAAGGCTTGCTGTTGTGAGAGGCAACTGAAGCAACTTATCAACACAATCATGCAAGTCTTGGAGGCCACTTAGTTTGTGGCATATTGATGATGAAGATGTGGAGGCGGCCTCAAAAGACCTCAGTCTACACAAATGTTTGTCAACTTCTTGAACGATCGGGTGTGGCCTTGAAGGAAAGCTGTTAAAGCGTGTGTGGAAAGCCATTTCTTCTTTGTGCGTTGTGAGAAGATAGAACAGAAGACTTTGAATTTGGACCAGAGATGAAGGATAGGAGTGATTCAAACACTGATAGAGTGACTGCCTCGATATCACTCAACGTGCTAACAACGGCAATAGTCTCGTTGTTCTTGCTGAGGGATGAGAAACTGGATCCCTTGAGATTTACCATAGCCTTGTGGATTGCCTTCTTCACCATCTTCCTTGAGGTCAAGTATTTGCTGACCTCAGTTGTGAGTGCTCTAGATTCACCTCTTCGCGTTCTTCGCATGATCGATTGAAGGTCCTGTACGCATTCCTTGGTTTGCAACAGGGCATCCTTGGCACTACTACAAACATCCAAGAGCCTGAGAGAACCATCTAATAGCTCATTAGTTGATTTCTCATTCTGCTCTTGAGCCAAGGCTTGTTGAGTGAGGGGCAACTGAAGCAACCTATCAACACAATTATGCAAGTCTTGAAGGCCAGTTAGTTTGTGGCTGATTGATGTTATCAACTTCTTGAACGATTGGGTGTGGCCTTGAAGGGAAGCTGTTAGAGCAAGTGTGGAAAGCCATTCTATTTGTGTGTTGTGAGAAGATAGAATAGTAGACCTTGAAATTAAGTTGTGGTTAATTTACAATAATTCAAACTCTGTGTTTTAAATTTTTTTTTGTTTTTTTGTTTTAAGTAGACTTGTATTGACACGTGGCGCCTAAAACCTGGTGTCCTCTTTTTTGTTTTAAGTAGACTTGTATTGACACTCTTTAATTAGCATAAAATGTATTTTACTTTTTTAATTACTTTGATTAGTAATTAACTAAACCCTTTAGTGATTATTTACTTAGTGAATATTAAAGGAAAAAAAGAAAAAGAAAAATTGAATTACTATTTATTAAGTAATATAATTCATGAAGTTAATGAAAGTAGTTAATCATAATTAGTCATTAAATAAATAATAATTAAAATATAATTGCTAATTTAACTAATTAAATTAGGCAAATATATTATGTAGTTACTAAAAATAAAATTTTTAAAAATTAATTAACCTAAACATCCTAAGTTTATATTTATTTTTTAAAAATAAGACCTCTCCGGACGAAATTTCGTCGACACAGGTATTTAAGTCAGGGGAAACCTAATTCGGCAAATTTTGCCGGCATAGATCTGTGCCGACGAAATTTCGTCGGTAGAAGTGTTCATATATATATTTTTAAAATTTTTAATTTTAAAAATATAAAATTAGTTTCTTTGCCTTTTCTTTTGGCCAACTTCCTTAATTTAATATATGTAATTAAGTAATATCATATCCTTTTTGAATTACTTTAATTAGTAGTTGTGTTTTAATTATTATTTTTTAGTGAATATTTAAATATGTTACTTATTTCTTAAATTGCTCAATAAATAGTAATTAATTATTTTAAATTATTTTGTGCAATTTTCAACGCATGCCTGAGACATGCCAATTCAACGCATGCCCAATAAGTGCCCATTCAATAATACATTTGTGTTCTATACATGTCTCCTTTTTAAAAAAAGCAAACGTACAATAGTCATATTGTACATGTTCGTACGTATTTCTAATGCTTAATACACATACTTTTTACAAAACTTTCATTAATATACGTTATACAAATTATATTAAAATATCGTATAGTGGCCGATTAATATCTATTTTGGATATGTTTGAACTAGCAAATTAATATCTATAAATTTAAGTACAAACTAATGCAACTTCGAGGGTCCTTTTTTCTTTTATTTATTTATTAAATATAGTATAGCCCTTTTAAATATAGTGTATTTAAATAGTATAGCCGTGCGGCGGCACGTGGCGCCTAAAAGCTTGGGGTCCTCCTTTTTATATTTAAAAATAGTATAGCCGCACGGCTATATTCAGTTTTTAATTTTTTAATTTATAAAAAGGTAGGCTACACCCTTTAAGTAGCATAATATGTATTTTACTTTTTTAATTACTTTGATTAGTAATTATACAAATTTATAAATAAACCCAATCCTAGACATGTATTTATAAAAAAACCCAAGCACTATTTAAACATAGAAACACACCCAAAATCAACCCCAAAGTTAACTTTTTGGGTGTGTTTGTAAATGGGTTTTGAGTGTGTGTAATGATGGGTTTTGGGTGTGTTTATATGTTTAAATAGTGCTTGGGTTTTTTTATAATTTCAACCCCCATTTTGGGTGTTTTAGTGAAACTCCCTAGTAATTAACTAAACCCTTTAGTGAATATTAAAGGAAAAAAAAAGAAAAAGAAAAATTGAATTACTATTTATTAAGTAATATAATTCATGAAGTTAATGAAAGTATTTAATCATAATTAGTGATTAAATAAATAATAATTAAAATATAATTGCTAATTTAACTAATTAAATTAGGCAAATATATTATGTAGTTACTAAAAATAAAATTTTTAAAAATTAATTAACCTAAACATCCTAATTTTATATTTATTTTTTTAAAATTAGACCTCTCCCAACGAAATTTCGTCGGGGGAAACCTAATCCGGCAAATTTTGCCGGCATAGATATGTGCCAACGAAATTTCCTCGGGAGAAGTGTTCATATATTTTTTTATTTTTTTTTAAAATTCTAAAAATATAAAATTAGTTTCTTTACCTTTTGTTTTGGCCAACTTCCTTAATTTAATATATGTAATTGAGTAATATCGTATCCTTTTTGAATTACTTTAATTAGTAGTTGTGTTTTCATTATTATTTTTTAGTGATTATTTAAATATGTTACTTATTTCATAAATTGATCAATAAATGGTAATTAATTATTTTAATTTATTTTGTGCAATTTTCAACGCATGCCCAATAAGTGCCCATTCAACGCATTCCCTAGAAGTGCCCATAACGTGCCCAAGAAATTCCCAAGTTAGCTTGCTTCGACATCTGTCCACAATAGTCGTAATATATATGTGTGTGTGTGTCTGTGTGTCTGTGTGTCTGTGTGTACGTACGTAGTTTTCAATAATACATTCGTGTTCTATACGTGTCTCCTTTTTTTAAAAAGCAAACATACAATAGTCGTATTGTACATGTTCGTACGTATTTCTAATGCTTAATACACATACTTTTTACAAAATTTTCATTAATATACGTTATAAAAATTATATTAAAATATCGTATAGTGGCCGATTATTAATATCTACTTTGGATATGTTTGAACTAGCAAATTAATATCTATAAAGTACAAACTAGTGCAACTTGGAGGGTCCTTTTTTCTTTTATTTATTTATTAAATAGTATAGCCCTTTCAAACTAATGTAAATTCAACAGTTCACTCACTCTTGCACTCATTTTAAAAAAAACTTTTTTGAACTATTAGATTAACATCCAACGGTGGGTGAACACAAATCTCTCGGGGCTGTTACTTTAATTAGTAGTTGTCTTTTAATTATTTTTTTTTAGTGAATAACTAAATATGTTACTTATTCCATAAATTGCTCAATAATAGTAATTATTTATTTTAAATTATTTTGTGCAATTTTCAACGCATGCCCGAGACATGCCTATTCAACGCATGCCCAAGAAGTGCCCATTCAACGCATTCCTTAGAAGTGCCCAAGAAATTCCCAAGGCAGCTTGCTTCGACATATGTCCACAATAGTCGTAAATACCAGAAAAGTTAAATCTAAACGTCATTCAATGCAACTACTTTTTAGTTAATTATGAACACAAACATAAGGGAATTAGGGTGGTTATTCTTTCTGTGCTGTTAGTACATATTGCTGGTTTCCTTGTGGGGTAAGTTGCCTTTAACTGTTGGTGACTTTAATTGTTAGGTGTTTTGTTGTGGAAAAAGCTCAAGGTAATGTATACCATGTTTTCAGTATGTAAAGATTCACTCTAATTTTAACTCAAAAATTATAAAAAAATTGCGTTGTCACCTTGTACTAGTGTATTATTGCTATTTGATTTAGCTTCTGTCAAGTTTGATATATAAATTATTGAGTGAAGTTAACTATAATTTGAAAAAAGAAAGTATTCATAATTTGTAAGCAACAGTTGAGAAACTATAGTTTGCTGTCATAATGACTTCATAGCCATAAAAGCTTTTGCAGTAAGAAAGTTTATATTCAATCTTCTCTGTCTATGTGGATTTTAATTTGACATATGAAGACAGAAGCTAGTTTTGTATACGAGCATTGTTGGCAGAGTTTGCACACATACAAATATTCTTTAAGGTTGTGGTGCTGGGCATGTTCGTTTAGTTTTTTTTGGAGTTTTTGCTGTGCAAACGTGCAACTTGAGGAGTCTTTTTTGATCAAGGACAGTCTTAATTTGCAGGTGTATATCAGCAGCTGTTTGCGGGTTTATCCCTCTTGTTGTTTAGGCAACTTAAACCCTCAACATAGTGAGGTGTGGGGCGAAAGGGGCCAAAATTCTCTTTCTTTCTTCAATCGTTCCGATCAGCACAAGTGGGTTG